GATGCACATTGAAACTTTTGTGACACGACAACCACGCGCACCTCGAGAGAACTCGTGCACTTTCCTTGGCCACGGAAGGACGGCACATCTCTGTGTTAGGCACAACCGTTTTTGCTACATGACATTGACATTAGTTCAAAAAGCAGAACAGGCGGCTTTTCTATCGATCCCTGCTCGTTCCTCTCGTTCCAAGCCAGAAGAACCAAGCGTTCTAATAGATTGGCATTGTTTGACCTCTCATTGCTCTCCAACAGGAGCACGAAATGACCAAAATGGCGCACGACTTTTTATTGCAGCCTCCGACAGGCATCGAAACCGTCTTAATGCATCATTCCTGCGTTTCCAATGTGCCTCAATGACTGGATCTGTACTGAGCACAATTGCTACGCTCTGGCTTCCTTGCTCGCCACTGTACACTGATTTCCTCGGGCTTCAAACTGTATGCACCAAGCAATCAAGTAAAAGGATTGGCTGCAAGCCTACTATCAGGCTGCTTCCTCACCATCAGACTGCACTGCCTGTTCCGGCATAACCCAAATTCGTGCGATGACTGCCGAAGCCCTACCATATCAAAGTATGCCTTTGCACAGCTGTAATGACTCAAACATGGACATCTGCTATACCTCCCTACACTCAAAGCTTAAATCTGCAGTATTGGAAACTCCACAAGAATGAGCTTACTAGACATCATCTAGCTCACTCTGTACATGCTTGCGGGACGAATGACTCCCTCATTTAAACACTGGGAGACTCAAACGTACATTGTTGGACAATGACTCAATCTTTTCGTCCTCCAACCTCCAAGATCTTCCTGCACGACGGAAGACTCGCCCTCATTCCAGTTTGCAACATCACATGTTCTTGATACAGCCACCAAAATGAAGGCTCTTCATTTCCATCATCTCGCTCCAGGCCAGGCAGCGCGGTAATCCAGTACAGAAGTACCTCAACACCGGCCTTCATCAGATCGGGATCGTTCACAAACTTGTCTCCATGCAGCATCAACGGCAGGCCAATGCCTTCTGGCGACAACAAGATACACGATTGCATCGCACAGCCTGCTCGGGAATGCTTCATTTCCCCGATGCGACTGATGATTCCCTGCACCGCTACACACTCGTACGCTTCACCAAGGCAGTTGAAATCTGTGACGATCCATGAAAGGGATGGGTGAATTGATACGGATCCTTCGCCAACAACCTCAATGTCGGAACTCTTGATCGATTGGACCTTTGCAAGCCTTTTGCCACCACACTTCCCCAGCACGATGACCTCAAAGTTTGTTGCTCGGATCCTGGGGAATGCTTCCGAATCTTGAAAGGCTGTCTCAATAGTTCTCTGCTTTTTTGAAACAAGATCATTCCACAAGTTCACCTGTATGATGCTTCCGCCGTCTGCAAGCATGAAGCTCAGCACCTTCCTCACACCTCGTGAGCCAGCTTTCCCATCTGCAATCTGCTTCGCCTCTCCCAACTCCACCACAAAGCCTTCAAAGGACACGGCAGCTTTGGCTTCCGGAACTCCATGAATATCCGCCACACACTCACACATAGTTGCAGAGGGAATTGTCCGGTTCCCCCCAGACACCCGCCGCTTCTTCGGCGTGCCGTACTCCTGGGCAGGACCCCCAGAAAGACCTTGTGCATGTGCTAATGCTGCCTCTGGCGAAAGCTTCGCGACATTGGCTTCTGGCAATCTGGAGTCAGCTTCGTCCAGGGTCAAATCCACGGCACTCATTGCAATAACTCTTTACCGCTTCTTGATCCCAAAAATGCTGCATTCCTGCACATGTAACCTGGAGCTTCTCAGCACCCACGAAATACTGACCCCTACCAATCTTACAACTCAGACCACTAAGCTATGTACGGCTCAAAGAAACGCAACACGGTGCTCATAAATCAGCCCCCCGACACAAGCCTGTGAATTGTCCACAAACGGAACAGTGCAACTGACTTGCAGCCAATGTCAAAAGAGATGGATGGCTTAGGGCTTGGGGCTGAGATACTCCCTAAGGAAATCCGCCAAAATCTATCAAGTTATATCAAGTTCAACACCCGAATCGTCTACCGAGGCAGCCCACTCCGGGCTACCCCACCATGTCAGGACCAAAGCCCCACTTCTCAAAGTAGAGCTGGATCTCTAGAGATTGGAAAGAGCCGAACCTCGTCGATGACCAGTCCTCTGGTTGGTGAAAATGAATCATGACAATCCACGAGTTTTTGGGGATAAGGTAACCCCAACTATCATCCAACTATGACTTATCAAATTCATGACAATCCACGAGTTTTTGGGGATAAGGTAACCCCAACTATCATCCAACTATGACTTATCAATCACATTCATTCATTACATTTAATCTTACTTATAACTTATATCCCCATAGTTTGATGGCTATAATAATCATGCAACAGAGGCTCACAGCACATCTGTCCTGGGAGCTCCCGGTCGAACGTCCAAAGAAGCGCATCATTGAGACAAAATGGCAGTTGGCCCGTTGGCCCCCAACCAGGGCGAGGAGTGAGCCAGAGGAAAACATCAAGCTCGAATCTGGGGTCGGCGGCAGGGGGCGTAAGCCCTTTAATAATTAATATGTTAATACAGAAGCTAGACTTAAAATGACTTAAGGTACCCCCAGCTCATTCATTTTGACCCATACCATCCCATACCAAGAAAACGCTGCCGTTTTTTTTTTCGGGGTTCCATATGGTTCCATTTTAGTCGCAGAATGTCCGCCTGGTGGGTCGGAATCGCCGGGACCTCGATGACCTAGCGGCTAAGCGATTGGGTCACGATTGGGCGATGGAGAAAAATGGCGATGAAATACGGGGGGGTCCTACTCGCCATTTTGATGAAAACTTGCAGGAAAGCATGGTTTTTACCAATGCTTACATATTTTGATATATTTTAGTTGTTTCCGTCCCTGTCACATTATCAACAGTTCAATTCAGCAATCAAAACATATCAAAGATGTTCCAAAGTTAGCATGAGATGCTAAACATTTCAAGAGTTGACTAACACACGTCAAAGTTGTAGAAGAAGGAACATACAACCAATCCTATCCTATGACAGGAGGATAGACCGACCAGCTTTTGGATATGCAATACACATCTCATATACAGCTCTATACAGTCATATAGTGTCATATACACATTCAATAATATATATATCATATATATAGATATACATATATATATATCATATATATATATAAATATCATATGTATATATATATATATCATATGTATATATATATATATCATATGTAAATATATATATAATATATATATATATATCATATATATATATCAAATATAATATATACCGCACAGCACGATTGTAGACTCTATAGACCTCACAAGACAATTGCCACTCCAAGAAACTCCTTTCTTTCAGGCGGCGGAGCCATAATTTCATCAGCTTCGCCGTCCGCCGATGCCATTGGGATTTTCGGAATTGATGGGATTTCCATGGGGAAAAACCCGGGATCCTGCCATGGTCGCCTTGAGTCGCCCTAAAAAGATGCTGCCATTGCTTCACAAACTGCGAAGAACTGAACTTCTAGGTCTGCTTTCTTCCAGTGTTTCCGCTCTGTCAGGTCTAAGTAGCCTTTCGACATCTTATAACTTATGTGACTTATGTGACTTATATGCATCAAGCTAAGCAAACCTGAGGCTAAGAAGGTCAGGCACATGCAATTGGCAATTTCCACTGCTGATGGCTTTAGGACCTCGATTGACTTAACCCAAGCGGCCAATTTGGAATGAGGTCAAACTGTGAATCAGAAAGACACATGTTTTTCGCACGTTAAACGCTAGATGGTCACAGGAACAATGTCGAAATGGGTTCTGCAATCGGCCAACCTTCATATTTTTATGCAGAAACTAAGAATGAGCAGACATGACCCAAATGATTGGACATAAGAGTCTCACACAATAGTTTGGAATTCACATCGCTTGGTGGATTTACATCATGAAATGACCTTGGTCTTTTGCTTTTCTACACCATCCTGCAGGAAAAACACATGGAACCATGCTATAGAACTAGGCTGTCCAGCAAGGTGAATTTTAAGTCTCATCATGCCTGGTCCATGACATGCCCAGCCTGTGATCTTCTTGATACCGTAAGCCATGGCGACCGGGGTGGCAGCTGGGGGGACGGACTTAGGTGGGTTGGATGGGTAGGGCTACTTTCAGGCCAACTTTTAGCCCAAAAAATATAGAGAAGGGCCAACTGTGAGGGTCCCAGGGTGCAGTGATCTCTATAGCATGAGCCATTTCGCTTCATTTCGATTCATTCCGAGCTGCGTAAATTGGATAAATTCCGTGGAATTTGACGGCTGCGCAAGGGTGTGAATCTGATGGCACTACACCAAGCTGGTATGCGATCCTCTGAGATTCCTCACATCACTTTAGATCCGGCATGGCATCAAAGCAGCTGGGCCTTCCTCCCAAATGGTGATCATCTGCTGCCAAAAAACGGCCCAGCGCTACGTTCATCCAGGAGTTGACATATTTGACATGACCGTATCCAACAATGGCAACTGATTTTTCTCCGTATCTCATAGCCCGTGATTTCCGGGCGCCCTCGCACGGAACATACGGAACTCCGCTCCGGTGGCACTGAAAAGTCGGTGCACCGATCTTCAACTGCGACCCCACACTGAAAAGGGATTTGATTGCGGTTGTTACATTTTGGCTGGTTTACACATGATAGGATTCAGTAAGTGGTATCATTTGTACCCTGGACCCTGGACATGTTTGAGAAGACACATTGATCAATGATCCATTGCTCAGAGACAATTTGGACATACCTTGGGGGGAAAAGAAACGATTCTGAACCTTGCAGCGCTTGAGGTACAGAAACATATTGAATAACTTGTAGGCATTGTTAGGCCTTGCAATGCTTGTTCATGTACAGTTCATGGATGCACCCAGTTTGACACTTTCACATCATCAACATCCTCTGTCGAGCTACGGACACCGCAGGGTCCCGGCATGATGTCACCGACGGTTGGGCACTCGCGGCTCACGAATGCGGAAGAGCTCAGGTTGTAGCTTTTGCACCTCAAAAAATTAGTCTTTTTGCAGAAATGGGGGTACCCCAAAACGGTAACTTAACATACGTACTTTAATCATCTTCAATTGGTACAGGATCTGATGATCAACCACTGGATTCTGGGGGCTTCGCTTCAGTGCGTCAAAGATGTTCCACAACACATCTTAACACAGCATGAAAAAAACGTCTTTGGAGATGGTGATCCTAGATATTTCATGATTAAATGATGATCAAATGATTATTTCATGGTTATTTCATTGTATTTTTGGATGATTTCCACCATATCTTCACCGTTCCTCGACCCACAAGGGTGGCCCCTTTCTGGGCCCAGGCTTTTTGAGGACCCCAACACCCTGAAGGCCATCGCTCATCCATGCGGCTTCCATCTTCACCAGGTCCTACCGTGTGCGAAAACTTGAACGTGAGATCACTGAAAAGATGACTATGATGTGACTATTTCTCATAATCTTGGATGAATTTTGGATGCTTGGGATGGACATTGGATGAATTTTGGGTGGACATGGGATGTGTGGAGGTTTCCGAAAAGATTTAAAAGGATCTAAAAGGAAGCTGATGTGTGGAAGTTGGCCATGGCCTGTTTTGACACTTGGACACACTGGGGATCACTTGGGCCAACGATTTTTGTTTTTTCTCCTAAAGAAATCAACCTGCAAGCATCATTCTAGATAGAATGAAAATGTATGTAAACATGCGCACATGAAAGAGCATATCAACACAAGTCGTTGGCATACTTAAATGGGCCATGGGATTAGTTAAGTGGTTAGAAAGTAGCTTATTGTCCATCCTTTAGTCAATTTTTTCGCCAGCTACTAACCAGCTAACCACTCCACCTAAGTACCGTAATGTATCATTCGTCAACCTTACTACCATCAATATAAGATGCGTTGATCCATCTTCATCCAACCTGTTCGGAGGTGTCGCGGATCGTCCGCAGAGGCCCTTGGATCACCAGCGAACCTCAGGGGATGATGGGGACCGATGGTCATCAGAAAAAAACCACGACATCCGGACCTTGGAAATATGACAACGGAAAAAACATGAAAAACACATCTTGTAAACATCGTTGATGGGTTTATCCATCGTTTTCCAAAAAAAAACTGGCTAGACATGGTGATTTATCCACTTCTGTTGGTTGCCAAGAGAGTGACGTTGGCCTAGACATCACCGACTGAAGCGTTGAAGAATGGCTCAACTCACCCCAGATCCAAGCCCAGCACCGCAAGGTAATCTCGCTCGGTACTTGGTCCGGCCGCCAATCACCTCCTATTGCAAGCGAGCGTCATGGTTTGAATCATGCTTTGAAGAAACAAAATGGCATAGAGAAAGAACACAACATGGGAATACAAACCATGGACTGTTGGAATCTAGTCCTGTATGTAGGTCAAACATGACCAAACATTGTGATTCCTGGGTCTCAACTTTAAACCCATACCCAAATGAATAAGTTTTACCCTGGTGTTGCATGAGTTCTTCACACATCACCGTTGACAACGATCAATGGAATATATGGACCAAAAAAACCCGAGTGGGAGCAACATTTTAGGTGTGGGTCAAAAGATATACCCTGAAATATAAGTTTTTTTTTGTGTATTCTTGTCTAGTGCAACATAGTACAACATCCCAGTTATATCCATTTATGAAAATCATCATGAGTCTGGACAAAAGGAATTGACCAGGATTCACCAAACAAAATCATTGCTAGGCAACAAATGAAATATCTCAAACATACCAATCACATATCATATCGTATCAAATATCAAATATCAAACATCAAACATCATATATCATATACCAGTAGTACCGCACAAGGCGGTGGCGGAAGTTTCAAACATAGGAAACCTATAGGAGAGATCGGTTGTTGTGAATCACGGATGGCAGAGCGAATCCACTGATGGACCGAAAGGTGGTTGGAGCTGTGTTTTTTGGAGTGGCTGCAATGGTTGCAGTGATCACCCGGTCGGTCACCTCACCCACAACTGCTGGATGTAGTGTGGTGTAGTGCAGCTGTAGTTGTAGTTGTAGTGTAGTGGAGTTGTAGTTGCAGTGTAGTGTAATTAGTGTAGTGTAGTTGCAGTTGCATTTGTGGCGGTGTAATGAATGTAGTGTAATGTAATGTAATGCAATGTGGGGTAGGGTAGTGTAGTGTAGTGTAGTGTAATTGAGTGTAGTGTGGTGTGGCTTGATGTAGTGTGGTGTAGTGTAGTGTAGCGTAGTGCAGTGGAATGTAGTGTAGTGTGTAGTGTGTAGTGTGTAGTGTGTAGTGTGTAGTGTGTAGTGTGTAGTGTGTAGTGTGTAGTGTGTAGTGTGTAGTGTGTAGTGTGTAGTGTGTAGTGTGTAGTGTGTAGTGTGTAGTGTAGCGTGGTGTAATGCAATTAGTGTAGTGTAGTTGCAGTTGCAGTTGCGGTTGTATTGTAGTGTTATGTAATGTATTGTAGTTGGAGTTGTTGTTGTTAGTGTAGTGTAGTGTAGTGTCGCGTGGTGTAGTGTAGTGTAGTGTAATTGAGTGTAGTGTACTGTAGTGTCCTGGAGTGTAGTGTAGTGAGTTGTAGTGTAGTGTAGTGGTGTGTAGTGTAGTGTAGTGCAGTGTAGTGTAATGCAATTAGTGTAGTGTAGTCTTATGTAGTTGTAGTTGTAGTTAGTGTGATGTAGTGTAATGTAGTGTAGTGTAATGTCATTAATGTAGTGTAATGTAATGTAGTGTAGTTGCAGTTGCAGTTGCAGTTGTAGGTGTAGTGCAGTGTCATTGAGTGTAGTGTAGTGTAGTGTAATTAGTGTAGTGTAGTGTCGCGTATTGTAAATGTAGTATTGTTGTAGTTGTAGTTGTAGTTGTAGTTGTATTTAGTGTAGTGTAGTGGAATGTAGCGTAGTGTACTGCAATTGAGTGTAGTGTAGTGGAGTGTAGTGGAATGTAGTGTAGTGTAGCGTAATGTAGCACAGTGTAATTGAGTGTAGTGTAGTGGAGTGTAGTGTAGTGGAATGTAGTGTGGTGTAGTGTAGTGTAATGTAGTGGAGTGTAGTGTAGTGGAATATAGTGTAGTGTAGTGTAATTGAGTGTAATTGAATGTTGTGTAGTGTAGTGTAGTGTAGTGGAGTGTAGTGTAGTGGAATGTAGTGTAGTGTAGTGTAGTGTAGTGTAGTGTAATTGAGTGTAATTGAATGTAGTGTAGTGTAGTGGAATGTAGTGAAGGTGTAGTTGTAGTTTTAGTGTAGTGTATTGGAGTGTAGTGTGGTGTAGTGGTGGTTGTAGTTGAAAATGTTACAAAACCCCACGTTTTGCTCGCTTCTGACAAGGTGCACAATCCCTTGCGCCTGCCGCGAAACGACATCTGAACGTCCAAAAGTGGTCCGAATCCTTGGTGTTTTTAATATTTTGACTTCGAAATGTGCTTCGCGCCACAACGGCGTGCACTTTTTCGAAATCTCAACGTCCAAAAGTGGTCCGAGAATGGTGTGTTTTGTACATTTTGACTTCGAAATGTGCTTCGCGCCACAACAGCGTGCAATTTTTCATCTCTTATCTGGCCAGCTGGCTCCGCACCCGCCGCTTTAGCGAGCCTACTTTTCGACCCTCCGGAGTCACAAATCATTGGAAAAACACAGTGTTTCGTGACTTTCCTACCTTTTCGCGCACCTGCATCTTCTTTCTCTTGACTCTTTCTCTTCTCTGATCTTCTCTCTTCTGCTCTTCTCTTCTCTATTCTTCTGCTCCAACTCTGCTTTTCATCTGTCAATATTGTCGGAAGTTTGACTTCTAAACTTCCTTCGATCATATCACACATAATACATATCACATTGAATCTGAATTTACATCATATATCATACCATTTGCGGATTCTTTTCCTTAAACAAAAACGACGGTTTTCCTTCACAGGAGCTGCTTGCCTCGTGAATCTTGGCGCCTGGGACGCTACCTCCTGGGACATGAAAATGGTGATTTTGAGGATTGTTTATAATGTTTCTGCCAGCGGACCGACTACCGTGCTTGTAAAACTAACGTTTTTGAGAACGTGCGAGTACGTTACTAACTTATTGTCTTGTATGAGCCAGTTTTCAACTACGTTACTGACTTCTCTAACCACTTGCATGGGGTGGGGTGGGGTGGTCTATTAACGTCTTGTCTACGAAGAACTTCCAAGTACGTTGCTAACTATTCTCTAACCACTTGCATGGGGTGGGGTGGGGTGGGCTATCAACGTCTTGTGTACGAAGAACTTCCAAGCATGGGGTGGGGTGGGGTGGGCTATTAATGTCTTGTCTACGAAGAACTTCCAAGTACGTTGCTAACTTCTCTAACCACTTGCATGGGGTGGGGTGGGGTGGGCTATTAACGTCTTGTCTACGAAGAACTTCCAAGTACGTTGCTAACTTCTCTAACCACTTGCATGGGGTGGGGTGGGGTGGGCTATTAACGTCTTGCCAACGAAGAACTTCCAAGTACGTTGCTAACTTCTCTAACTACCTGCAACTACGTTGTCATCTTCTTTTTCAAATTGCAACTACGTTGTTGGCTTTTGTAACACAACTTGCAACTATGTTGTCATCTTCTTTTGTCAAATTGCAACTACGTTGTTGGCTTTTGCAACACAACTTGCATGGTCTGTATAAACAAATACATTCCCAACAGTTTGCCCTCACAAAGCCGCGATTTACTGCTCTATGTGAAGTCTTGGCAATGGAGGTATATAAACCTCAATGCCACCTTACAGAAGAAGACCATCGAAGCTTTGGAAAAAGTGCTATTTTTTAGAGTCCACAAAGACCCTCCGATGAAAAGGAGCTGTTACTGTGGTAAAACGCGAAAGCGCCCAAATTTCGGAATCCATTTTCTGGATGTTTTTGATGAAAGAAATTTGCGTTTCACCACAGTGCCATACTCATATAAAAAACAAAACGTGCTTTTACGAGCACGGTTTCCGGTCCGCAGGGATGTTTATGGCATTGTTTTACCCACATCATATGGGATTTTCATGGAATTTCATGGAATTTCCATCAATGGGCAGGTACCCAATAGCTGAATGGTTGACATCTATAAATGGATAACTAGGGGTACACCATTAGGAAACCTCCATATGGGATTTGCCGGGCTCTCATGATGTCTCCTCCAGCCGATCGCCTCAGCTGAGCTGAAACCAACCGACAGGATTTCACTCAATGGCAGGGGAGATCGAGCATTGCGCCCATCAGCAATCGAAGCAACGAACCGCAACAAAGCAGCAGCGCAACACAACAGGTTTGCGGTTTGCTAAAACATAACTAGACTCGGGTTCTAAACTTGGGTATGTACTCCCAATAGCCTCCAGTTATCTCCAGTTACTTGATGGTCTATTTCACTTTGAAAACCGTCCTACTTCAGGGGATCCTCCTTGAGTCCCCCGGCGCTTCCTCAGAGGCTTTTTCAGGTGGTTCCCTGCAGCTTGCTTCACCATGCAAGCGATGCATCCCTATGGATAAGGGTCAACATCTAACATAGCTCGTCATGTTTTAGTATTGACCTGCATTAACCATCATTAACAAAAATAATTCATTTCATCCATTTTAGGGATACCGATGGATACTGCAACAATTCCATCCCCATTTTGGGTTACCCCAACAATTGTCAACACTTGTCAACCCATCCCCACATGTCAGATACTGTCAGAGGAGTTAAGATTTGGAACCGGCATTTCATGCTTTCTTGTTGCAACCCATGATATTCTGAAACCTGCGCAAGACATGCTTTAGAGATCGGCTGTGACAGCTTGAATGGAAGACACCTATGGGGGAGCCGTGCCTGTCATCCTTTTCTCTATCTTTCTCTCTATCATCCTCCGGTCGCCGGTCATTCCGGTCATTCCGGTCATTCCGGTCGCTCCGGTCGCTCCGGTCGTTCCGGTCGTTCCGGTCCTGGCTGCATGGCAAGCTTTCTGCCATCTGCAAGACGTTGGGTGGCTGGCAGGGAATCATCGCAGTTGGGTATGGGTCAAACGCCGGGTTTCCCCAAGATGTGATGATTTACTACACACGACACGATGGAAATTATGGGCTCCAGATATGGGATCAGTGAAACATCATGAAACATCCAACTTTTTGCCGACTATGGAGCTATGGCAGCTATGAAGCCGTGAAAACGGGTGTGGCCCTTGTGGTGGCTTCGGACCTAAACTGGAGTTGACAAGCTGCAGGAAAGTGGAAGAAGAAAGAGGACCAATGCCATGGCTGCCATCATGCAACCCTTGGGCGAAACGTCTGTTCATCTCCAGATGGAGGCTCTTGCCACCACTTCAGCACGGCCCTTTGATTGTGGTGCGTTTTCCAAAACCGATCAAAACCTCGTACTGTAACATCTGAAATCCAAGAATCGGATGGTTCAAAAAAAATGATCCAAACCACAATTGGAGGCTTCAATGATGTAATATGTTACAATCACCCCATCCCAGAGATTCTTCACAATTTTTAAGATGTTTGAAGCATTTTCCCCAGTTGGATCCAGTAGGGTTTCCATGGGTTTCCCACTTCAGCTGGGGTCATTCCAACCTTCAGCTGGGCTCATTCCTCCGTGCCTTCCATCTATCATCTCTTCGAGGACTTCTACGAGGACTCCGGCGCGGGCTGCGGCGAGGACTCCGGGACCTTGGGGTATGGGCAAAGATGCCAACAGCTCTAAGGAGATGTGGGGAAATGAATGGGAAATGAGTGGGAAATGATGCGAAGGCCGGGATTTTGGATGATTTGAGGGTTCCAAATTTTGAGACAATCTCATTTTGACATGTTTTGACACAGTTCCGATATTTTCCCTTGGTGAAAAACCAGTTTTTGATGCCATGGTCGAGATCCTGATTTCGTTTCAAAGGTTGATCCTATTGGCATCACCGAGGACTTGGGGACTTGGGTCATGGGGCTGGCAACCGACACCGACCATTCCACACTCAGGCAATGAACATTTCTCGCAGGCACAAGCGACATAGCAACCTATAGCAGTAGCATCATATAATATCACATAGAATCTATAGATATCTTATATACACCGTATACCGTATATATATATATATACCATACAGAAATATGTCATACTTGGTGATCCCGTTGGGTGATTCATCCCCGTGCTGCGGTCATTCCGGGCCTGTCGCGGTCATTCCGTCGCTCGCGGCTGTCGTTCCGGCGACGCTCGCGGCTGTCGTTCCGTCTGCGGGGCTCGCGACTGTCGTTCCGTCGGTCCTCAGTGATAGGGCATAATTACAACCTTACAACATGAACGTATACAACAATTTTAGACAACATTATGCAAACATGATATATTATACAACATTCTATAAGCATTATAACATATTATAACCATTTATAACAGTGGGATAAGATGGGCATATTATGTCAATTCTTCGTGTAAGCAACCATCAGGATGTCAGGATGTAAGTGGAGTTTCATCCATTGATCCCCGCTGGTTGGATTTCACCTTGGTGATATCCTGATGGGCTGGTTTGTGCTATCTCTACCCTGCTCTGAACAAGTTGAAAGATCAACTGAAATCAGTCAGCGTTGAAACATGTTGACACTTCCTTCTTGGAAATGAGAAATACAACACTTTACAACACTCTAAGCAGGGCGTTTTGTCATTGCCACTCTTCCTACACTTCCCAATCCGCCATCCCGAAGTAGCTGGGTACCAGGCGGAACGAGTGGAGTCGCGATACCTGGAAGGCAACAACCCTTGGTCGGTCATGATGGCTTTCGGAAATGCTAGCGCTTCGAGACAACAGATCCAGCTTTGATCTGTAGCCAACAATTCAGGCTTGATGCATTGGTTCCAATTAATGCAATGTATAGAATTAAACTATAATGATCACATCAAATACCACTTAACTACCACTTAAATATCTTCTGAATGGTCAGTAAAAAAACATCGGTTTGCCTGGGCCTAATCCATCTTTCTCTGCTTCAAACATAGTTTTCACATGCTTTCAAGCTAAAATCACAACTTTGGGTCACCCATGGTCTCCCTCCCCCCTTAAGGGACCCTTAAGGGGCCATCCCACAGCTAGTCGCACCGATCGCGATCGCGCCGGTCGCGATCCATGACCTGCCGATGTTGTCAACATGCTGTTCAAGGTGAGAGGTGGTTCAGATGGTTATCGGATAGAACATGATATATAGAACAAATTGGGCTGCTTCATCGTATATATGTATATATATATAATATATATATAATATATATAATATATATAATATATATATAATCTATATATAATATATAATATATATATATATATAAATATATATAACTGGGGAGTTCATCCGCTCATCTCCCCTTGTCAGAGTGAGCAAACTGATCCAGGTCATGGCTGGTTTTCGGTCACTCAGCGATGCAACTGACAGCGACCGCACAGCTACTGTTAAAACTTATATCGGTAGGAGCAAGACTTGCACCAGAGGACATGCCTTCTCTCCATGCTGAACAGTTGCATGATGTTGCATGTAAGTTCATAAAAATAGGGGACTGCCTCAAATCCTTATTTTTGTCTTTGATCTTGTGACACTGCCTCACAGGTGGCTAGAAATGGACAGGACTGCCGGCTTTGCCCGCATCCTTTTTTGCTGGTTTAGATTAAACCTCAATCCACTGAACCACCAATTTTATTGGATCAATATCGATTCCCAATTCTCGTGACTAAATTGCATACCTTACAGCCATTCTCCAGTGAATCTGGAGAAATTCCAATCATCAACATGAGATGCTTGGTAGTTTCTATATCTCATGATAGCCTCATTCAACCCCCAAGTATAAAAGTTTCCATAATTGATGTTGAAGGAACCCACCCCCAGTTTTCCTGGAGGCTTCATGTCCTGGGCTCCTGCGCCGCAGTCTCACTCCTTGGCCCTTGCCTTTGGCATGGCCGAAATATCGGATTCTCCGAAGAAAATGCTCAGGATTCTCGGGTGGTCACTGGTTGACTGGGTATGGTTCAAACATGGGGAAACATAAATCAAACATATAATCTGTTTTATCCATTTTAAGGTATCACAAAAAAGAAACTGCTTAACATGGATAATGATCTCAAATCAAACGTGTGCGTTGGTGCACCAATACTAAATGAATTTCAGATGATCTATCGTTCAAAATGACCAAATTGGGTAACCATGACCCGACCAACATGGGATAATTTATTATGGGCTCTTGAGTTTGAACCATACCCAAGTGACCGCAACAGAGCTGGCTAAACGAACTACAGATTTCTGGATGCTGATGGAGCGATCAACAATTTATTGTCAGTATCCAGTGCTCAACCGGTCACAGTGAGGCTGGAAATACTCAAACACATCTGGAATGCTTGAAGCTGAGAGGAACAAAACATGAAGGAATCATTTCTGCTGACATTCCATCTGCAACAGACGCAACATGTCTTGTTTTATTCATTTTCCTGAGAACAGCACGACCCCGCACTGGTGAATATCAAACTTAAACTGTCAAACAGATCAGTGCATCAGTCTGGTTCAAACAAAATTCACCAGACCTCGAGGTTCTTACAGGAACTGCTTCAGAAACGCGAAAGAATTTTGGTATTTGGTACTTGGCCGGACTCATCATCTCCAATCCTACTACGATTCCGGTACATCCCTAAAATCCATTGCAACCACTCATTCTTTCAGAAGGAGCCACATGTTTTTTTTAAGAGCCCATCCCCCCCTAAACCGACAGGATTTCCTGAGAAGATTGCTCCTCAGGGGCTGCCGGCTGGTATTCCTTTCTTTCATCGTGCCGCGGCCGCGTGCCGTGCTTCACATCTCTCTGGGGCGCAGCCAAAGCTATGCCTGAAACATACCAGGAGGGATCTTTCCGGGAAAGTGGTGATGATGATGATGATGATTATGATGATGATGGTGGTGACAACGATGGCGACGATGATGATGATGATGACGACGACGACGACAATGATGATGATGATGATGATGATGATGATGATGATGATGATGAAAATGATGAAAATGATGATGACGATGACGCCGATGATGATGATAACGATGGCGACGATGATGATGACGATGACGACGATGATGACAATGATGACGATGACGATTATGATGATGATGATGATGATGATGATGATGGTGATGCTGCTGATGATGATGATGATGGTGATGATGATGGTGATGATGATGATGATGATGACAAGGACGGCGACGACGACAAAGAAGATGAAAATGAAAATGAAGATGAAGATGAATATGAATATGATGATGATGATGCTGCTGCTGCTGATGATGATGATGATGATATGATGATATGATATGATTTGATATGATATGATATGATATGAAATGATTTGATGATGATGATGATGATGATGACGACGACGATGACGACGATGACGACGATGACGATGACGAAGACGATGATGATGATGATGATGATGATGATGATGGTGATGATGACGACGACAACGACGATGACGATGACGATGATGAAGAAGAAGAAGATGATGATGATGACGATGATGATGATGATGATCTCGCCCCAGCTCTTCAACAATGGGAAACACAATAAGATATATACAAAAATGAACGAATTGGCAACGTCCCTACCCCGGGCAGGGTAAGAATCATGATATTTCTTGAGACCCAGAAACCAGGAAAAGGATGGAAAAAGGGATAAACAATGTAGTTGAGTCGGGAACCCGAGACATCTCGGATAGCGTACACTCGCAACATCCATTGGCAGATTTCGTTTGCCCACACCATCCACACAGCTTCACTACTGTGGTAAGCCGCAGTAATAAACCTTCAATTCAGGATGGCTATTGACCACCCATGTCCGGAAAATTGATGAGAACTGGGGAGGGTTTATGGCATTGGCTTTACCATCACTCCAACCTGCCAGTGCCAAGCTGCCGCCGAGGACAGTCACCATGGCACCAGCCAGTTGTGTCGCGGACGGTCGATGGTCCGACGTCTGGCGATGTAGGAAGAAGGCTTCGATAAGAATCACCACGAACCTGAGTGTCGCAGTGTCAACATCCTCATGGAAGGCTATGTGGTGGCTCAAGTTCAACCCACTTTGTCGCTTACAATGCAGTCTTAGGTGTGTTAGGCCCGTTAGGGTTATAACATGCTATAACATGCTATAACATGCTATAACATGCTATCACCTACAATCTTGGGCGCCCCAAGTAACCGGCTTGTTATTTCTGTAGTTATTTCATGTTATTATTTCTATCACTGGACCACGCCAGATTTTTTGAGCGCTCTGTCGAGCTGGTGAGACCACCGAGCAGTACACCAGTGGCAGCTCAGCAAGGCTTGTCCCGGTGAATTCCCACTGGAATCCTCCAGTTCTCAAACTTCTGGATGACCGCCATTGAGTTTGATGATATTTGGTATCCCATGACATCCCCACTAGATCCCCACAGATGGTTCACTAGCCACGAAACCAACCAAGTTCTGTTACTATGCCATAATGTTTAATGTTCCCCACCAGGTTTCAAGGTTAAATTCACATTTTGATGGGAACACATAATTTTAGACAACGACATTTTTGATTGTTAATCACATCTAATCACATTCTATTCCCATTATATCCCACGATACATCATTATTTTCCCATGTTTTAAATCAATTTTTGCAGGTTAAATCCGAATGTTTGATTCAGATTTTTTTTTTCCAGTGCTTTCCCCTGGCTGTTGGAAGCCCCATCCTGTTTGATGCACCTATTGGCATTGATCAGCACCAGCATGCTCGTGGCACTGATGAGGCTCTGGCACCAAATCCTTAGATATTCAAATGATCATCTGATTTTGATGAATTTCCCATATCCTCTGTGGTTTCCTCTGATGTCGATGATTTCCCATATTTCCTCTATGGTTTCCTCTGATTTTGATGATTTTCCGATATTTCCCCACTATGACGATGGACATTTTGCATTCTTAGACTTCTTTTTTCACCGTGAGCTTTGAGCAAATGATATCTTAGCATCTCCATCCTTGGGTCTCAGAAATCAGAGACATCAACGCCTTGCATCTTCCATGCCCATCTGAAGCGAGCCGCGTGGTATAGTTGATGCCCAAGCCAACTACACAGCTGACGATGATAAAACACATCTCCTAGGCTGGTGCGCAGACAGCCATCAAGGGGGTAAAACTTGCTGGGCATTTTGTTTTGAACAAACTGTGACATCCATTCTCTTGCAAAATCACTCTTTTGATCCACACTGCAATTTCTCTTGCAAACCCTACCACGGATGGTGCAGGTCGAACTTGCACAGGCCCCCACAGACGAGGGAAACAACTCCTCTTTTTCCACCGTTGATCCCTGCATTATGACTTCAACAAGATGACTTCAACATCCAATGAATGAGACTGGACAGGGTACCTGCCTTCAGCACGTTCACTCTCACAATTGGAAGTACCCAAGCTTCCAGGTTAGACAAGGATGTCAGTTTCTGCGGTGCAGCATCAGCTTCCTTGGGAACGTGAGGGGCTGTTCAAAAATCAGAGGATCACAGCGGAACTTCATGAAATCTCATTCACTTTTCTGTCGCCGAGGTCATTTTCAGGAACTATCTTGCACTACTGTGACGTTGCCTGGCATGATTGTCGGAGATTAATCACATTGGTATCAGTTTTTTTTGCTGCAGCACCTAAAAAAAAGCGAAACACCTGGTGGGCTTTTCCAGAACTGGTATACCCCAATCTTACATAATTTTACCATTCGAATCAGGAATGGGTTGTACTCCATATTCAAATCAATGCTGCCATTTCTGGCGGGAACTCTTGCAGACTTGCTTCCAGCTCACCTGTGAGGTAGGCCGTTAAGATCAATGGAAGGATCCCTAAGGCATTGCTGATCAAAGAGCAGCCGCTCTTGGAGATGTCAATCCGATTGTCTGCCAAAAGCCGACGTTGAAGAAGCCGCGTGAGAACGGAGAAGGACACATTCACAGTCAACCAACCTGAGAAGTGATGGGGCAGCTCAGGGTTTGTTAACTTCTAGTCGGTGTGTGTTGGTGGTCAATAAGCCAGTAATAGAGCTTTGTTGTTGGGGCGTCACCCTTGGGGGGTTGGTTAAATCTCCATGACTTCAATTTTTTCCTTTTTTCCCCTACTCACACATCACCTTTTAGGGGTGTTCGCCGCCCTGCAGCTTTCGACAACTGACCAAGAAACTGGCATCAAAATGGCTGGGATAGCTTATATTACTTAAAGTTAGGGCCTACTATCCTAGCCCTATCAATATCCAAACAAAGAACCCCCAACAAAACACCAAACACACAATCTGTTGGGGGAATATGCCGAAATATGGTAGTCACCAACTATTGGAAGATCAGTTCGATCAGAGCCACGCACCCCAACCAGGTGCTCAACCTTCAACTCCCTGGTGTACAGCACAGCACCTGGACCCGAGGCTTGGACCCCGATACCCCGATGCAATGGATGTTCAACCCAATCTTGCGCTGACCCTCCGGTAATCAAACGTGGCAATGGGAAAAACACGATTTATAGGTGAATTTCCTGTTCAAACCTCCATTTGTAGGGGATTTCCCATGGTCGTGTTCGATTAGCAAAGGCTTTATTTGGTATTGGCCACTCAAATGACTCCTTGTGGTTCAGTGGGATCTGCCATCCACCAGTTGCACCTAAAAGCATGATAAGGAGTGACGCCACCATCTGCAGATTCACTTGCACATTTGCATAAAAGCTCTCAGCCTGACGTCCGCGATGATACTGTATCTTCAGCAGAGGCCAAGGGAAATCCATTCAGGCGGCGGATCTTGGATGAATTTTGAAACCGAACCACGGTGCATTTTCTGAATCTAGTCGACCCCTTATCAGATAGTTCACAGTCCCGCGCAGTCGCTGTTTTAAAATGACCCTTTGACGGGTTTGACATCGGAATGGTGTGATAAAAGCCAGTCACTGCCCAGGGACCATCAAGGTGAAAATGGGCGACATGGTCTTGCAAACAATCACCAAGGTCCTGGGTAGTGACTGTACGAAAAAAGGGATGAAAAGGGGGTACAGTACTGCAGTACTTATCTGTCATTGATGTTTTCCACATATATATATATATGTATATATATATAGACATACAGTTGTAGACACTCTACACGTGTGCATACATGTACGTATATTATTTGATTATATTTGTATATGATTTCACATGTATATGTGCAATAACATGAAATCTAACCCAGATGCACCTTGATGCACTTTGATCCATTTTCCACTGCTCAAACAAAACTCATGGGGTCCGGCCATCAGAAGCCTGCCAACTTCATGCAACTTCCAAGGGTCAATGTGCAATGCTTCAGGGCTAGCATGTTCGTCAGCAGCATCCCAGCAAAAAAAGGCGCCACCATGGACCAGCGCAGGACATCTTTCAGGGAGCCGATGTGAATACCTCAGTCGAAGCCGAATCATCCTTTTGGATTTGTCGAATACAGCAGGATACCCAGGTAATTCCACTGCTTTATCATCATAGTCCTCATGAAGTTCTCACTTTGAGGGTATCATCAATTCATTGGTTTAAGGGAACATTTACAAGAAAACCCCATATTTAATGGGAAAATCATGGAAAATCTATGGTTTCCGGCGTTTCCGGTTTAGATTTTCCCTTAAACCAATCCATTGATATCCACATTTTCAGCCACACCCAAAAACAGCTGTCGCCATCCAAGCTGCTCCGAAAGGCAAAACACAACAGGAGCAAAACAGCGAAGGCCATCTGCAGCGCTGTCAAAGTGCTCTCATACGGAAACGCTGTGATGGCCAGTTTGTTGGTCACCTGTGCCAAATTGGATGGCGTAGGTAAAAACATTGGACCCCCAAAATATATACAGTATATATACGCATATATATATATATTTATATATATATATATAAATGTTTTTTTTCAAAGTACGCGGAACAAATACAGAGTTGTTGGTCACAATCTGGCTAAGGTTGCCTAGAACCGGATGGTAGCCTGGTAGATACAGAAAGCATCCACGAAAATCAAACATGCAAAAATTTGACGCAGGTCCCAGCTTAAAGGCTCCGCGATTCCAGAAAGATTCCGATCTTTGGAGCAACCAATGGGTCAGAATTGGGTAATTTCTAGCATCAAACCATATAATATATTGTGGTGGTCCAACAATTTTGACCCAGACCCAATTTTTATCATCATTTCCTCATCAAACCTGCCATTTGGGACAACCATTTGCCAAGTATCCCCCATGTTGCGGCAACACAATACAGGACACTTAAAATGTTTGAAGCCATGTTTAAACAACACAAGTGGCACATTGATACGATCGTATATGTCTTCCTGCAACCTGAAAACTGATAAACAATAAAACCACCACCATAGTTGATCTCATGATACAAGCAATAAACATCAATAAACGTCATGTCACTTTAAAAAAACGCCAAGTCACCATCATCGAGATGGAGCAAAAAACGAAGATCCCAATGCTCCTTACATCATCCGCTTCATCCGGGACGATGATCACGATGGATGACATACGATGTACAATATATGTTTGTAAAGGGTGATCGCAACGCATGTTGTCAGTCGTGCTGTAATGTTCATTCACAGTGTCGTTAGTACTAAATCACTATGACATATTACTATTATGAGCAGTTTGGAGGACTAAACATCATCATTATCATTTTGATAAATGATCAGACAATGCATGAGCAAACATTCATTTACTCCGCATTTACTTTGCAGTTTCTATCACTTTCTATCATTAAGTTATCATAAAGTTATCATCAGTTCATCACGAGGCCATCATCAAGTCATCAAGTCATTATCATGATCATCATCACCAAGTTCTCATCATCACCATCACCATCACAATCACCATCACCATCACCATCACCAACACCATCATCACCATCATGACCATCAGCACCATCAGCAACATCACCGCCATCATCATCATCATCATCATCATCATCGCCATCGCCATCGCCATCACCATCAACACCATCATCATCATCACCATCACCATCACCATCGCCATCACCATCATCATCACCATCATCATCGTCATCATCATCACCATTACCAACGCCATCACCACCACGATCACGATCACGATCACGATCACCATCACCATCATCATCACCATCATCATCATCATCATCACCACCATCACCATCGTCACCATCGTCACCATCATCATCATCACCACCATCATCATCACCATCACCGTCGCCATCACCACCACGATCACGATCACGATCACGATCACCATCACCATCATCATCACCATCATCATCATCGTCACCATCATCATCACCATCATCATCATCATCAACATCATCATCACCACCATCACCATCGTCATCATCATCATCATCACCACCATCATCATCGTCATCATCATCATCATCACCACCATCATCATCGTCATCATCATCATCATCACCATCATCATCATCATCACCACCATCACCATCGTCATCATCATCATCACCACCATCATCATCGTCATCATCATCATCACCACCATCACCATCATCACCACCATCATCATCGTCATCATCATCATCACCACCATCACCATCGTCATCATCATCATCATCATCACCACCATCATCATCACCACCATCATCATCGTCATCATCATCATCACCACCATCACCATCGTCATCATCATCATCATCACCACCATCATCATCGTCATCATCATCATCATCATCACCACCATCATCAGCATCATCATTTTCGATGTTTCTTCGTCTTTATGTTTAAAGGACGAGGCTTGACACAATTTGTCACGGCAGGCCGCAGCTTTAACGAAATCTCTGAATCCAACAGGATCCAACGAGCCAAAGTCAATGCCGGGATATATAGTAGGATATTGACGGGATAATATATGAATTAATATGGGATAATGGATGATCATAGTGGGATTAATAGTGAGGTAATAGTGGAATAATAATGAATTATGATGTCTGAGAACTATTTTTTAGATAGTCACCGTCCCCAAGTTTGAGCTTTATGATATTGAGTACTGTAAACACCCATGACAGGGGTGATGTAAAATGACCCAGTCATGGTTGGTTTAAGGGATCGTTTATTAATGGGTTTATGTACCACATTATTGCACAAGGTGCCCCCCCAGTGATGCTAGTTGGTTCAAAAACCCCATGAATACTATACTTCTCCTCCATAACCCCAACCGTTAACCCAGTTATGTGCGTCAACTTCGCTATCGTAAACGGGGGCCCCACCGGCCATCCTTTTCCGTCAGGGCACAAGATTGTCTCGCCTGTGTCGAGGTTCTCCCTGTCATGAGGTAAAATAGCAACTGTCGCGCTCTTGCTGAGAGCAGACATGGCGCAGCCAAGGATGAAGATACTTGGGGCTCAAAATGGCTAGCAAACTTCCTACAAAGTTGGCAAGTTTAAAAGTTGGCAAGTTTTAGGACTAAATGGTACTAAATGTTACTAAACCGTAAACAATCCATCTTGAGATACATTTTGGGGTGATTTTTTTGAGCCAATCCCGCTCGAGCCAAAAGCTTCAGAGTCCATCAATAAATTCAGATCTTGGGTCTGCAGATCAGACCAGCATCCGGCATCAGTGTATCGCTGTCGTCTCTTCCTGTTCTCTTCTTCGATCACACGCCATCTCATTCTTTTCTAGAAGACAATACGCAGTATCTTGGCCCAAGCTGGTTACAAGAGGCTTCCGATCTACATCGCACCGCGTCTCCAAATTTCTCCAAACTTTCTCCAGTTTGGGAAATCCATGGGCCCAAATTTTCTTGTTGACATTCCAGCACGGTGAACACCCAGCCTTCCGGTCGCGGAAGCGTTCTACCCGCGGTCTTGGGGTCTTGAGCTGCGGAGTGGTGGCTCAGGACATGCAAGTGTTGGATCACATATGTTTATATAAAAAACATGATGAAACCTAAATAAATGTAAATAACATGTAATTATATATATATGTATATATATATATATTGTGTGTTAAATCACGTTAAATCATGTACATGAACATTCCATGGGGATTTAAAACATTGGCAAGAATCGATGTAAACACACCAATATGTTTGCATATCAATATTTATGTTTTTTAACTGAAATGTCACAGAGTATGATCACAGAGTTCGTTTTTATCGGAAATCATCCAACACAATTCCAAGGGTACAACATGATACGACCAAAATGTTGCAGAGTTGGCAGTCAAACAATAAACGAACACCTCCCAAGTGCATACTCCTTCAATTGGAGGGAAAAAGGATAAAAAAAGGTCTTCTGAAGTGTAGCTTTGCTGATTGATTCACAATATTTCACAATGATCCCAACCTCAGCTCCGCTCTGGTCCTTTGCCCATCATTGAGATCCGGCTCCGATTTATCTCCGCACTTCGAGCAGCGACATAGCCGTCTCCAATCACGCAACGCGATGCTGTGGCACTATTTTATGGAGCCCCTCGATCCTTTATTGAGACACAGCTCCAGTTCGAATCCAAATGTAGTGATATCGTTTTGGCAAAATAGGGCGTTTGAATAACTAACTAACATGTATCATCATTTGCCTATATAATCCTCCATTATAATCCTCCATTAAAATCCTATATATATATATAATATATATATATATTGATTCAGGGGACTTAACCCCTCTATTCACAAACCAATACGCAACTTGGGCAATACCATGAGCCATCTCGAGGAGCACAGTGTCGGAGAAGTGTTGCTTGTTGCATCTCAACTTCCTCAATATTCATGAACATTCATGGGAGTCGTTTAAAAATTTTAAAATGGGGGACCCCAAAATCATCCAACATCATCCCAAATCATCCACAAACCATCCGAAACTATCCATCAATTCATCTCAATTCATCAAAAAATCCTCCAACATTTGTAGTGCTGTACCACTTTTCGAGTATTTTTTTGTATACAGTAGCTGTTGGTCTCAGGGGATCTGAGCTGGACTCGCCACTCAGCTGCACCTGGGGTCCCCAAAGATAGCGTTGATTGAGAAGTGGCTGAATTCTATGGTTTATATTAGATATGTATAGATATGTAACTATAGTTCATGGGGTTTATAAACCAACTTATAACTGGGGGGCCCCAATCCTGGACAATCATATGGAGATCCATAATATACATTTACATATATATATGTATATAATTGTATAATATTGAATATATATATATACATATTATCATATAATACAATGGATGTTTCTTCACCTGACACATGGGAAAATCGGAAAATTGAACCATCCACATTTGGGACTCTAAATTGGGGTAGCAAATGATCCACATAAGATGTCACATGTAGAATGAACATTTCCCCATTTTGTGAACACCAACAACACACATGGGTGTGGTTGATCATCATTTTCCCCATTAAGGATCATTAAGGTAAACCCTCACTTTTGGACAAACCCTCAATTTGATGGATAAAGTTGCTATCTTTGGGTTAAGTGCTGATACAATTGCCCATTCCCATGTGGTTCTGACTTAGGTCCAGTCCTCGTGGTTTCACTTTGACCTCAGCATATCCCATTGGTTCAGGGTGTCTGTTGGTGGTCCCTGTGGCAATGTGTTTTGGTCACTGCTCATCTGGGATGTTGATGACAGGAAAACCTTGGCTATTTCTTGGTGTCTCATCGCAATAAATCTTTTGAGCGAAAAGATGCAAGGAATCCTGAGGGCATTGGCTACAAGTCTTCAATGTCTGAAGCGAACATACTGGTTGGTTTCGTGGCGGACAAAAATTAAATCTTTGGTAGCAACTCCCAAAAAGATTTTACATGATTTTACGTTATTTTTCCTGATATCCTAGATTTAGTTTGTCATTGCCACACAGAGCGGCTGGGTCTTGGTCTCGATTGGATAGGGGTCAGTTCCAGTTCTCCTAACATGGAGGGTTGATCCTTTGCCACCCAGAGGTCTCATGGGTTTGTTTTCACCGCCGGGTTTTTGGCGGATTGACACAACTTTCGGACAGCTCGCCATATCCTGCCCTCTGGGCCCCTGGCTCATCTTTCGGCCTGGTAAAAGGGTGGATCTAACGTGTAGAGTGGTGGAATCTTCATACATAACACATGGGATTGTCTAAAGTTACGTCAAATATCAAACGTCTCCAAATAAGCTTATCGTCTTTTCCCATTTTAGCGATTTATTCAGGCTTTGGGATCACAGAATGATCAATGTACTCATATGTATATATTCATGACGTATTCACAATGTATTCAATATGTGTATTCATATATGTATATGTAGTCTGATAACCTGTCTTGCTTTGCCAGTGAGCGTATAGTGGTGGACATGTAACTTGGCTTCTTGCCCAAATGATTCTCGTTTGCGTTGTCGTTTTGCCCTTGTCTCCTTAGCTATCGTTTTCTGGGTCTGTAGTAACATCATAGAGGGAAGGTCACCGGCATCGCCTCGCGTCCTCAGCTTTGTTCCTGGCATCGCAGTCTGATTGACCAACTGACATCTGGTTGAATTGAATGGCAAAAAAGGCAAACCATGGCCAAAAAACAGATTTAGTTGATTTAGTTGATGTTTTGTGATGTTATCAGGTGCGTTTCCAAAGTGTCAAAGGGCCGGTTTCAAGAAAGGAACTCGCCATCCGCGCAGTTCTAAGGCATCGCCGGTGTGGCAGCTGATCCAGTTGACCTCGATCTGGCGCACAAATTGGAAGTTTTTTTTAACCAAAAATGGCATTGTTATGTTAATTTATGTTACTTTATGTTGTTTTACCTGAAATTCTATGGATTTTTGAGCTTACTACCAGAAGTAACCAAAAGTCATTCTCTGCATTCTATCTGCATTTTTTTGGGTGAAACCACCACCTTTTTGACTGTTTCTGGAGCCATAGAATTTCAGGACACTCACGTACGAAGGCCCAAGAAAATGCTATTTTGGGAAAAACATCTTCCAAACAGCATAAAGTTGAGGGTTCCATGTTAGTCTTGCGGGGAGTTTATAATAACGGACAAAATATCGAACTGGCTTGCATTCTTGTATGGGAATGGTAATGGTCTGGGAAAATCATCAACATTGTCCCCAAAACTGCTCGGCGAACATTCCATAGTCCCCGGAAATCCTTTAGACATCTTTGGAGAGCCTTTGGGTAACCATTTTAGTATTGAAATCCATGTTTTTTTGGAGTACACCATTTTAGGAACCCTCTTAATATGGTGGACCTTGAGGAATTCCCTCTGGTAAGCCAGGAGCAAGGCACACTGCCGCAATCGCTTACCCGGATTATGCAAGTGTGGAAAATCCACTATTCATAGAGGATTTTCCCATGCCTCCATGACTAGTTCGCGGATATTCCCATATTTTCCCAGGCGAAGCGGGCCTTGCAACACCGCAGCGACTTCCTGTGCGAACATGGACTCAATCGATTTCTCATGATAACTGTACTGTAGGTATATAATATAACTATTACTATATAAGTAAACAGTATGTATAGTATTACAGTGTATATATTAATATATACACACTGTATATCTAATAGTTTGTACATACACTATATAAGCTACTATACTTATAGTTATAGCTGGTACATTACTATATAACTATTATTGTATATGAATGTATATAAGTAATTGCACTGTAACTATTGTTGTGATAATGTAAGGGATAATCAGTATAACTATTGATAATGATATATCATCACTGATCATACGGACTGTTACGTTCTTTGAAAAACAAAATAAACTTAAACAATCAGTTTTTGGTCTCTGTTTCAAACCTATTTCCCAGGTGGTGAAAAATCCAATGACTACAATGATATGTTTTTACACGCGTGCATCTAGTTGCACCATCCTCTGCATTCTTTTGATAAACATTGCCGCCATCATCATCGTCACCACCATCACCATCATCATCATCATCATCCCCACCCTCATCAATATCAACATCAACATCAATCAACAGCAAATACAGCAATCATCAGTCATCACAATAACAATGAATCACCCACCCGCCTCAGCCTGAGCCAAATCGGAGGCGCTGGCTCCTGACATGGAGATGGCCTTGGGATATAATTTGAGAGGCCAAAATTACAGCATTCTTGGGATATCTTGGGAGATTTATATTGTTTTAATTCGATTTATATTGTAGACCAAGGTAAACCAAGCGACATTTACACAACTTCATGATTAAACCAACCAAAGGAAGGATTCAACGCATGTGAACCTGGGATTTGCATGGATTTGCCGGGGGTTTCACCATGTTTCACCTCATGTAAAACACATTTTTCCAGCCCTGCCCCGATCCCATCATCCCGCAGCTTGAAAAGTATACACTGATTATTCACTCAGTAACTGGGATGCGCATCACTAAATTCACCAGCCTGAAACCAGCCCTGGTCCCACAGTAAGGTGGTGCCTTTCAGTTGGCGGTTGACTAGCCATCCAACGGTAGTTAAAATCATCAGCATAATCATACCTATTGTTAACTATAGGATTAAAATCATCCAACATAGTTATCGAAGGAAGTTTAGCAGTCAAACTTCCGACAATATGGACAGATGAAAAGCAGAGATAGATGGGAAGAGCCAGAGAAGAGAAGAGAAGAAGAAAGAGAAAGAGTCAGAAGAAAGAAGATCCAGGCGCGCGAAAAGGTAGGAAAGTCGCGAAACGGAGCCAGCTGGCCAGATGAGAGATGAAAAATTGCACGCCGTTGTGGCGCGAAGCACATTTCCAAGTCAAAATGTAGAAAACACCTCAGCTTCGGAGCACTTTTAGAAGTTGCGATGTCGAAAAAGAGCACGCCGTTGTGGCGCGAAGCACATTTGCAAGTCAAAATGTACAAAACACCTCAGCTTCGGATCACTTTTAGAAGTTGCGATGTCGAAAAAGAGCACGCCGTTGTGGCGCGAAGCACATTTGCAAGTGAAAAAGTTAAAAAGCACCTCAGCTTCGAAGCACATTTCGAAGTCACAATGTACAAAACAAACCAGGTTCGGACCACTTTTGGAAGTTGAGATGTCGAAAAAGTGCACGCCGTTGTGGCGCGAAGCACATTTCGAAGTCAAAATGTACAAAACACTAGGGTTTCGGACCACTTTTGAAGGTTCAGATGTGGTTTTGCGTGGCAGGCGCAAGGGATTGCGCACCTTGTCAAGAGTGGGCAAAACGTCACGGTTTTCAAAAACGATGGCAGGCGTGGGACATTTGAAGAGCATCTGCAAAGATGCATTTTCCGTGGCAGGCGCAATACAAGAGACATGTTCATCAGAGTTGTTAGGAGGTCCGGGCGCAGATTTCCTGAGAGGGGTTGCATTTTGGAGCATCAGATCTTCAGGTTTGCTGAGATGTTTTTGCGTGACAGGTGCAGCACTTCGTATGACCTGGCATCACTTTTTCGTGGCAGGCGCAATAGTTTAGACAGGTAGACTGGAAAAATCGCAAAACGCATCGGTACGAGGCCGTCAGCTCTGCACTCAACTTTCCATTTTTGAAGGATGTCTCGCAGAATTCTTTCGTTTTTGATGTTGTCAACTTCGAAAAATGAGGAAGTCTCGCAGAATTGTTTCATTTTTGATGTTGTCAAGTTCAAAAATTGAGGATATCTCGCACAATTGCTGCGTTTTTGATGCTGTCAAGTTCAAAAACTGAGGATGTCTCGCAGAATAGCTTCGTTTTCAAGCTTGCAGATAGATAGATAGAAAGATAGATAGATAGAAAGATAGAAAGATAGAGAGAAAGAAAGAGAGATAGATAAATAGAGAGATAGATAGAGAGATAGAGAGAGAGATAGATAGATAAATAGATAGATAGATAGATAGATAGATAGAGAGGTAGATAGATAGATAGATAGATAGATAGGTCGGTAGGTAGGTAGATAGTCAGAGAAAGAGAAAGAAAGAGAGAGAAAGAGAGGAGACCTCAACCACCTGTCGGTCCATCAGTGGCTTCGCTCTGCCATCCGTGACTCACAACAACCAATCTCTCCTATAGGTTTCCTATTTTTGAAACTTCCGCCACCGCCTTGTGCGGTACTACTGGTAATCATCCCTATTGTTGGATCTGCCAAGGTCTCGCCATTTAGCTCAACTGGGTGACTACAACCGAATTTGGGTGGGTTTTACACATCCCCATTTTCAGCCCCAACATCAAACACCAGCCAAAAAAACACGGCTAGGGGAAGGGGATGAAATATGATGAAATCACATATTTGGAAGCATAGCATGGGGATGTGTAAAACGGGGGATGGGATTATGTCCTATCATATGGTTTGGAAACTCTGTGGAATAGTCATCCTGGAGTACATAGAATGTGGGAAACTTCAAACATGGATCACTAAAATGGACATATCTTTGAACATTCCATATTCATCCATATTCTATATATACTCTTCAGGATTATAGCTCCTTGGCTCCCCATAGCTATAATAGGGATTATGGATACCTCTGAATACGAACTGCTCCCCTAAGTATCAGATACAACAGCTTGGGGCAACCCTGATCACCATATATCACCAAGTTAAATCCCATGAAGTTCCATTAAACCACCATTATATCACCATCAAATTTACACATTTTTAGACAATTTCCCATGTTAGTTTCCGACTTCCCATGGTCTTTTTCTGTCGAAAATTCCAGTTAAAATCCCATCGGGTCCCATCAAACCACGACTAAAGCACAATTTTCGACTTGTGGTGTCATATATCCCCTACCCATCCCTATCCCTATCCAGTTGAATCCCGCTAAATCAGCATTAAAGCACCATTAAGCCACCATCAACCCCCCCCCCATTGAATCCCCATTTCTGAGGCTTAAGTCATTATATCAACCGCCATAAACTACCATTCAATCCCCATTTCTGAACCTTAAGTCCCAGTCCCAAAAAAAGTCCAACCATTCAAGCACCATTCAATCAGCATTTTCGACTCCGCTCTCACATGTATGGCACGCCCATCTGGCTCTCACCGCCCAGGTCAGCGCATTGCTCGCCGTAGGGGGTGCCGATGCAGGTTTTGGTGCGGCGTAGGTCCCAGGAGTAGTCCAACCAACTCACAGCCTGCTGAAAAACGAAAACGGAAAACTTGAAAACCATAGGGAAAACCATAGGAAAACCCATGATTTCGTCACATTTTATGTTTTTCGTTGTTTGGAAAGTCATGTGTCAAATTTTTAGGGGGGTTCAAACTCTGGAAAACTGAGGAGACAGGGAGGAAAATGGTGGAACTGTACCAACAAAAATGGATTGTTAAACGAAGGGGGAATCGATCGCCCAAAATTGGTGAAATTTTGGTCAAAATATGAGGCCCAACCAAAGATTGCGGATGTCTTTTCCCACATGTAAGACCGAATAAGTTGAGGTCAGTGGGTTCTTGAGGAACGCCGATAATAAAAAGGCAACATCCAAGTGATTTCTGGATGGGCGCGCAACTGCGCTTTTGCTTTGATCCCTTATGCACCTGATTTCCAGCTTCTTCGAACAGCGGGTCTCCAGGTACAAGGTACTTGGCAACCCGGTTCTGCACTGTCACATGCCCCGCCGACCTTGGTCCGCCCCGTTCAGGCTAGACTCTAGACAGGATGTATCCGTTTGCCTCCTGAAAACAAACTCAAGCGGAACATGCGCTTGTTTGCATCTCAACCATCATTAACCACTATCAAACTATGGTTCAAGAATTATTGACCTTAACCATGGATAATGTTGAGGAACCACCCAACAGGATCCAGCAGGTAAAACACGCATTGATCACTGGTGTTCCATGCTGCTGCATCAAGGGACAGGAACGTGTATGCATTCAGCACCTCAAAGTCACCTACGCTATCGATCTCCCCCTCGGTGGACACCACCTGCCACCCATGTGGCTATCGATGGCTGGACCGATGACCCTCTAGGGAAACCAACGGGGCAGTGGAAATTCAGCATTCTTATGCATCTTTCTGATGGTTTCCCTCGGGAATATGTTTGTTCTTCTGCTTCCATTGCAGCCTGCAACCTGGGGATTCTTGCTGCACCAGTGATTCGATGATTGTGCTCCAACATTTTCAGATTTACTCTGCCCGATCCCTGCCTGCCGGAACAGCTCAGAGGAAACGAATTCGTTGCCAGCATACTGCTGTGTCTTGCTGGCTTCCAATTTCAAGGAAACAGTGCGAATGAATTCTTCCTCCTCCTGGGCAAACTGCGACACTACCAGGTGCCCTTAAGAGATGCGGTACGACATACTACTGAAGGAGATCACGCACAGCTATGGTTCGGGTTGGAAGATTGTGGATGATACATTTTTGAGGTGCCTTCAACACAAATCATATCCAAACAGGGAACCACCAACTATTTACAACCAAACATTAGGAGAGCCAGCTCCAATCAAGGATACAGGTGATATACCAATGCCCAAAAATGTGTATACCTCGAATGGGTATAGCCTATATTTAATCACACCCATGTGAAATTATATAAACCACTTGCAAAACGGTTGGAACTAAACATGGGGTATACCCATGCTCCGATTTAGAGCGATTTTCCATGGACATTCTCTACCTTTTCTATGGGAAATGTCGTACCGGGTACCCCATTTCTCACATTATTGGGCAGTGTGTCAAAACCTTGTACCCCTGGTGAACATCAAAATAGCTGGTAAATGGATGTTCATCCCACTAAAAATGGTATTAATAGGTATTGACCCATACCCATTTCACTAACCAACTTGCGGCCTTTTGGGATCACGGCACCATGATTCCAGGCGGCAGGAACCCCCCCTGGTCCTCCTCAATCGGAAAGGACACATTGATCTGCAAAGGCTGCACTCGAGGATCCGCGTCGGCAATGAGGCGAGGCACCGGTTGCTTCCTCGGGATCCAACGGATGTCGGTGTCCGTGCAAATCAAAGGCGAGCAGTGAATCTATGGAAAGATCATGGAAGAAATCGATCTTTATAGATCTTTATAGATCTTTATAGTGTATGCTATGGATATTTTGATCTGAGTTTAAGCCTGTCGTCCAAGAGACCGCAAAGGGGGATTTCCTTGTCGTTGTCTGGAAAGTTTGGCATTTTTGTCTTGTGCCGGAAAAAACACGTGGGCTTTGAATTGTGGCTTGTTTGGCTGGGCATGTCTTCATATACTTCTGTGCAACCGCTATCTCAAACGAGCTTCTGGCAACCAGTTGCATTTCGCAACATTAACTTACAGCAGGCTAGGAAGAATGGAGAATTCGCAATTAACTCCGAGGACACAAAAATCCTAGAAAACTTGTTGCATCGGACGATCCAATATTCAAGAACTCCAGAATTCAAGAATCTGTATGCACATACAAACACATATTGGCTTCTCTGAATATATGTATTTATGCTTGATACGATCTACCAAAAAATATCTAATCAACTTAGAGCAAACATGTCGAATCTTATTTATTGATCCATCCATCTACACAATATAACCCTAACCTTTTATATACATATCTAATCCTATCAATCTATCTAGGCTCACCTTACCTCCTCGATTCAATCTGATCTGAGCACAACTCATCTATTTATTTATCTAATCCTATCTGTCTATCTGATCTTCTCTGATCTCATCTCACCTCATCTACTCACATCTATACGCATACATCTATAGCATATATATATTCACATACATCGAACACTATTTTCATAGCTATATATACATTATATTACACACACCTCTCTCAACACAAGATATACGTATTATCATTTGCATCTTCATTTTAATTTATCATATCATATCAGCTGATCAGTTTCTACATGTTTCTACATATTTAGGGCCTTTTTTGGGGGGCCATCCCGGCCCCGCTTCCGAACCGGGCATCAGAAAAGCCTTGAGCTCTTCGCCCGCGTTGAAGGCTCGGAACTGCACCACCCCACTGTCAGCAGCCAGCGCTGGCATGGCCAGCAGGAAGCCGCTGGGGAAATCCTTGGGGATGCACCCAGCATCCCAATCATGAGACATGGAAAGAACATGACAATGATGATAAAGCCATGAAGAAATATGAGGAAATCTCATGAAATATCAAGATACATTATGAAAAACGAAGCCATTGAAAGCATGAAATATCTAAATCATATATAATTCGGCCTGCTAATGTTGGTTGTATTTGGGACAAGAAATGAGGATATAGAATCTTATGGGATTTTTATAACCTGGGGATAGCGTGGGACCATTGACACCATCCTGTGACACCCTTTGGCCATGATCCATAGTCATCCTGTTTTTGAGGCTCCACTGTTTTGATCCATGCGCAAATAGCTTCATCTGAACACATACCCCAAAATACCATGGTCTTATCATTGCTTTCGTATTAAAATGACAATTTTGGAGCATCCCCAAGTTATGGAGGCACCCACATGTTTGCTGGCTTTATATTCCCACTAATGTCCCCATGAAGATATCCATGGATTGTATTTGCCCACTCTCATGATTTTTCCCAAATCATATCGAATTGGTGAATTGGTTTCATATCCCAGTATAGCCCCGTCGCATCCACATCAAATTCCATTATATATTACAATATATATATATATAAAATTATATAAATCGTATTTAATCCTATTATAAATAATCTCCAAGTACCATCAAATCCCAGCGTTTTCGGTGCTTAAACCAGCCATTTTTTGGGGACAACCCCACCATCCACGGCGCTCGCAGGCGAGGATCGGTGGCCTCGACTTCCGTGGCCTTGTCGAGGTAATCCCAGTAGTAGCGCGCCTGCCAAATCATGGGATGTGAGAAACAGGAGCTGATGATGATGATGATTGCATTGTTAATTATTACTATCATGATTATTATTACTACTACTGTTGTTGTTGTTGTTGTTGCCGCTGCTGTTGTTAAGTATCAGTTTCTTGGTATTGTGAATACTATTAGTATTATCAGCATTATTAGTATTGTTAGTATTATTGGCATTGCTATTATCATCATTATTATGATGACAATGGCGAAAAAACATGAGATGAACACGGATGAACATGAAGATGAAGAAGCAGGTGCTGATAAAGATGTGCTTGCGCCTTCCAGTGCAACTCGTTGGCAGCCGTAACATCACCACTGGATGCAGCAGTGTCTGCGGAACTAAAGTCTTCGCGAATGGCAGCCTGGTCACCACGGGGTGCAGCAACTTGGAATACTATTCAGTCTCTTTACCTTGAGATTAGCATGATTTGTAAGTTCAACTAGCAAACATGGGAATTCAAGTAACAAAACGTGGGTATCAGCACGGCAAAATCATTGCTTCAACGAACAAAATTGGAGGTAGACGGTAGACGCTCTATGTGCTGGATCAAAGGATTCCACGGTTTCTCAATCTCTGGTCCTAGACATTCCAAAGTAACCAAACACTCTGGGATGGTCAAAAGTGGTAGATGGCACGCTATAATTGTTGCCTTTGGGTGCTTGAAGCGATATCTGGGTTCCAAAAATATTTGGGACCTCAGAAATCCAGCAGTTGATGTATATGATCATTTTTCATCATTTTTCACACCGCATTTCATTTTGACGTACGAACTCTTGGACCAGCCCATCTTGGATGATCGGGTGGCCATCCAGCGATCCCAGCGGTTCACCTTCGTGTTCTCATCCACAAAGCGGGGACCCAAAGGCTCGCCATAGGCGACTGGACGTGAACCTTGGGATTTCGCAATCTGATAGGGCACCTGACAACTTGCGTGATCTGTGTTCATAGTTGCAGCTACATGGAAGTTCAACCTCTTTAAAAGTCATCAGCATATATTACCCATATGGATCCATATGGCCAATGAATGTCAATGAAGTCGTTAGGAGCCCGATCACATCGTTCATTTTGTCGCGCAGACGTGCCGTCACGTCCGTCACACCGGCGCCGCCGAGGTGCAAACTTCCCACTCCCCGAAGAGCCAGCCAGGAAAGGACGTGGATGCCCTGGGACCATGGCCATTTGTAGAACCATCACTGGCTGGTGCTTCAATGATGCAACCAATAAAGGTCATGTAGGATTCACTGACTGGGGATGGTTTCTACCATCCATAAAAATTGATGCTTTTGGAGATGCTTTATTCTTGACGTCAGTGAATTGGCACCCCATCTGGATACCATCGACCTCCATTAAAGCATTCAGGGGGTGGGTATGACAAACATGGGATCACCCATCCATGCTGAATGCCCTTCCACCCTAGAATTTTGCTTTCGTCCTCAAATACCGTACCGAAAAAATCATAAATTACCATAACTTTTCTTATCAAGGTTGCCATTCCACATTTTCAGCCAAAGCGAAATATCATCGTGTTGAGAGCACATATCTCCTTGTTTTATAGAGTAAAGACCGTTTTTGAAGGGCAAATCCCAACACACACGCGCACACCCATTTAGGTACCGGTGTGTCTACAAATGGGGTAAATTTCCAATTCATGGCAATTTCAATGCCGAAATGTTCATTTAACACCGGGACTCTAAGGGTTTTATCACGGTTTTACCATGGATCTACCATCTTGAAACACATACTTAAATGTTTCCGAGCGTCGAAATCCCCCAACTCGGACACATGAGCTTGGCACGCTGCAAGCGCTGACGGAGAACGTCGCTGTCGTCAGCGTTGGAAGATGGATCTGAGCACCAAAAAAAAAACAGGCAAAAAATCAAAAATGTGCGATTTTGTTCAGATTTTGCTCAGAAATTCGGATTTTACGTTTTTTTCTTTTTTTCTCCGGAGTTTACCATTGGTTTTTGTTCAGAATTTCTTGCCGCAAATGTTGGTTTCGCCGGATGTCCACTAAAACAAAAACGAATCTTCATGGACTTTGACCAACATGTTGTTTAAACACATTGTTTTTTCCAACATTGCTTTTTCACTGACTTTGACCACCCAAAACTGTGATTTGTTGGGGCTTATGAGTTTATAACATTTATAACAATATGTTTGACACCTATAATATCCTATAATCACGGTTTTTACAACGCAAATCTGTGCTTTGATGGATCCAAAAACAGGTGGCCCCCATGGATTTTACCGTTAAATCACTGAGGCCAACGGATCAAAGTTAGATCGTCTCCAATGAACCATCTGTGCCCAAAGAGACGTATTTCTTTGTACCATGTAGCATTTTCCACCATGATACCATTTTCCAGCAATAATACTATATCATAATATATTATACTATAATATTATATATTACAATATATTACACACAATGTCACTATATATATCACTCCTGTAAGACACCCCTGTCCGTACCCCCACCTGCAGCTTGCCGCGCTCGCGCCCTTCCACCAACTCCCAGGCCCAGTGCCGTGGCCGCGGCCGTCAAAGCCGCGGTACGGCGGGAACGATCCCAGGCTTTCTGTGGTGCTTGGCGATGGCCGCGGGGTGGGATGGTGGAGTCCTGGAGGAGGATTCCAGGATGGTAACGTGCATCAAATCATGACCAGAACAGGGCCATATGGATACATATGATCATTATGATGTCAATATGATACCATGGATAGTACAAATATGTGTATCCATATGATACCATCCATCAGTCAAATCATGATAGTAACACTTACATAATGATGCAATGATACATATTTGGCTGCGCCAAGTTCAAGCACCAATGGACCAAGACCTCCTTCCAAGGCCGGCACTCCCGTTCCGAGGAAACTAAGGTTGACTTCGCTGCACCCCCACCCTTTCGAAAACCAACCGCGCCTAAACCCTAAATGCCCCAAAGGCCCTAAAACTCCTACAACCCTAAAACCCTAACCCCAAACTGTGATCGTGCTCAATGCAGACTTCTTAACTTCTGATGCGCGCGGGGGGGGGTTCTAATACGCACAGTCCAATTGGTTCCAGAAGCGAAGGTTCTAATACGCGGTACGTTGAAGTTTCTGATGCGTGGAGTCGCTGATTTGTAGTTTCTGAAGCAAGGGTACTTCCTGACACGGGTTTGATCGGTCATAGTGAAATTGATTCACATTTTACAAGCAATCGTCGGTTCTACCATGGAATATAAGTCAAGGGTTTGCTGCAAATTCTCGCTTCTTTCAACTTTCAAAGTTTGGGAAATTGGACAACTTGAAATTACCGCAATAATCGCCAAGACATATCGTTGATGTACCACATTTTGGAAGAACAGTTCGATCATGTTCTCTCTTTTGGGAACCTCAGCCCAAGCTGAAGCAAACTCTACAGTCACCAACAGGAGACATAAGGGGCTTTACATAAACGAGAAAGTTGGGGTGCGTGATACATGAAGACATGAAACAAATGGACACAGGTACTTGCTTCCGGAGGAAGAATTAAGAACCATCACAAGTGCTTAAATCAGTGTATAATCTTCTTCTAGTCTTCTAATATTAGATGAACAAGTACCCTCTGGTAAACAAACATAGCTATTGAAAATGGCCATAGAAATAGTTGATTTACCCATTAAACATGGTGATTTTCCATAGTTTTTTGTACTGTATGTTTACCAGAGGGTAATTACTGTAGCCTGAAGGCAACAACTGTGAGCAAGTGGCGATGTTTGCCTGGCACCCATGGGATTCCGGTAGCCGGTAGCCACTATTTTCTTCACCCCAACTGAACCTTGAAACCAAACTTCATCATGAAATCATACATTACCATGCAGTAGATCCATATACCAGAATATACCATACACATATCATATACATCTATCATATACGCATATCATACATATATGTATCATATGTACGTCAACATATATCATTATATATATAATATTATACATAATTATACAAATAATATTATATACAATTAAAAATATAATATCATATAATTAAATTATTATATAAAATTAATACAAATAATATTACATATAATTAAATATATAATATCATATAATTATAAATAATCATAAAATAATATCATAATTAAAAATAATTATATTTCATTCAAAATATAATATCCTATAATTAAAAAAAAATATATAATTGTATATATATATATTTAAAAAAATATAATATCATATAATTAAAATATTATATATAATTATCTATATGATATAATTATAATATTATATTTAATTATGTATATATAATAATATGTTTAAATATATAATATCATATTATCAAAACATTATATATAATTAAATATATATATATATAATTAAAAATAATTAAAAAAATATTTCATATAATTAAAATGTTATAAATAATATTACATATAATTATACAAATAGTATGATATATAATTAAAAACAAATAATATCATATAATTAAAATATTATATACAATTATACATATATACTTAAAAATAATTATATAATAATATCATATAATTAAAATATTATATACAATCTTAAATATAATTATTAAAATAATATTATATACAATTAAAAATAAATAATATCATATAAATAAAAGATAATATATAATTATATATAAACAAGTATATATAATTATATATATATAATCATATAATTGTAATATTATAAATATTTAAATAACACATATTATTTATAATTATATATATAATATCATTTAATTATAATATTAAATACTAAATATAATTATATTATATAGTTATATATAATATCATATAATTCTAATATTAAAAATAATTATATATGTAATATCATATAATTACGATATTATTTTTAACTATATATAAATAATTATCTACAATTATAAATATAATATCATATAATTATAATATTATATAAAATTATATGAAATATTAAATATAATTATTAAAATAATATTATATATAATTAGAAAAAATTATATATATAGTTATATATATATATAATTATAGTATCATATAATTAAATATTATATACATATACATATACCATACACATATCATATCATATACCATACACATATCATATACATATATCACATACGCATATCATACATATATCATATACGCATATCATATACCATATACCATACACATATCATATACATATATCATATACGCATATCATACATATATCTATGTATCATATGTGCGTCAACACATATAATTATATATAAAATCAAATATTATATATATATGTAGTATCATATATATATATATATTTAAAATTATAATTCCTCCTCCCATCTCCCCACCTGCCAGTTCCCATCTTGCAAGTCCCATGTCATGTGGTAAATTCCTCTTCCCGTCTCGCTATCTGCCAGTTCCCATCTTGGATGTCCCATCTCCTGTGGTAAATACCTCTTACCTGCCAGTTCCCATCTTGGATGTCCCATCTCCTGTGGTAAATTCCTCTTCCCGTCTCCCTACCTGCCAGTTCCCATCTTGGAAGTCCCATGTAATGTGGTAAATTCCTCTTCCCGTCTCCCTACCTCTTCCCGCCTCCCTACCTGCCAGTTCCCATCTTGGATGTCCCATCTTCCTTTGGATGTCCCATCTTCCTTTGGTAAATACCTCTTCCCGTCTCCCTACCTGCCAGTTCCCATCTTGGATGTCCCATCTCCTGTGGTAAATACCTCTTCCCGTTTCCCCACCTGCCAGTTCCCATCTTGGATGTGCGTCAACATATATAATTATATATATATATAATTATATATATAATATCATATATATATATATTATTTGGTGAATTTCTTCCCCCTTTAGGCTTCCAATGGCCATCCGCTGCCTGCTTGGATGGGAGCTGGAGCTGCGGCCGCGCCACGGTTGCTGCGGTCGTTGAGGACAGTCGCCACATCGACGGGACGACGAAAAAGGATGGCGCGGAAAGACACCGAAACGCCCGTGGATTTAAGTAAAGAAACATGAAACAGGCTTAAATGATCTTAAATGATCTTAAATGTACACATGTTCATTTTTTGGCTCTTGGCTATCGCTTTGCTGAATGGAAATTCGGTTGAAAACTGCTTAGGGGATGCTTCCAGTCATTTATGAACTCCAATTCATCTCCAGCGGTGTTCCTTTGTTGGATTGCATTGTCAAGTATGTGACTCTCTCGAGGTTTCATGCAAACATGAAATATCTTCCAATTAGTGACACTATGTGACAATGATTAGTTGGCATGTTTTATTTTCGGTTGCCCATGCTAGAAAGCAACCATTTGCCATCTATCCAATCTATCCAGCTTTTTGGACTCTGCTTGAAGCCAGCCAGAACATGCCGTGAGCTTTGCCGTGCCAACACCTTTTTTTTTTTGCTAAACGGCTGGCTGATGCGGACAGAGTGGAGCAACATGACCTGAGATTCCACCGAAGGACCCAGACTTCCGGGGGGAAGCGATGGTTCATTCTTGAAATCCTTTAACACATTTTAACACGCATGTGGGGAACATTCCCATCAGCAGTGCAAGTAGAATCAGGTAATGATTACAGGGGCTTTGATTGGATATGGTAGATGGAGGCTTCACGAGGCCACTTGACCTTCTAAAAATGTCTGGGATTTGTAACACAAGCAATGGGGAAAGCAACACGTTTTCACAGCATCCGAGTATCTGCCCTTTTCACCAGATTCTGGTACTAGCTGGCAAGCCAATTTTGGCTTCAGCCAACCTGTGCGCAGCATCCAGGTGAAAACTCTGTGACGCTGACTGTCTACATCACACGGGCATACAGTAACATATACTCAGGATACACACACACACACTCATCATCAAATATAACAAATTCTCGGTAGGTGCCCACTGCAGTTTCCTCAGTCAGCTGCTGACATGACATTTTTTGCATACTGGTGCCTTTATATTCTACCAACCGTATGTTCCTCTCAAGTACCATGGTGTTTCAGCTGCTGATTGGCTTCAAGTTTGTTTTTCTGTTGGATCTTTTTCCAATATTTCGCCGAACCAATTTCTCTCCATTTGGGTTCGTCTAGAAATGGAAACAAACTCAATACATACCCATATTTTTGGCTCTATCCCTCCTATAGTACCATTCTGATTTGCTTTGCCACTGAAATTGTTCTTTTCCTGATGGACATGGAATTTCCCACACTTCTGCCATCTGTTTTTCCAAACAAAACAGACACACCACCGGAAAAATCATCAAAAAGTAGTTCCAAACCCACTTCTGCCTGCTGTTTTTTCGCCAAAAGACCTTGGAAAACCCAAAAAACATCTCCAAACAATTCGTCAGTGCCCATATTTCCCCGGCTCCAACCAGGCTGCTCGCTCCGCCAACGCAGAGTCGTAGCTGTCCCCGTGCAAGGCGTCGGCCAAGGTTAGGGCCACCGTGGGATCCTGGGGATCTCTGGACTCATTTTCTATGGAATATTTTTGAGGCATCATAAGGCTGTATTTGGAGATATTTATTGGATAACATATATATATATATGTAATATAAAATAATATAATATAATCTAATATAAACAATAATATAATATAATACAATATAAGATACGATAATATACGATAATGTATCCTTCCGGTCTTAGAAGGCATGATAAGGCTATATCTGTTACTAGTTGTTGTGTCTTTTTTCTAACTTGGGAATCTTGCCTTCCATTGCAGATTGGTGAATTGTTTTCGGTGTTATGTTTTTTTTGGTGAGTTTTTTAGGCATTTTTGGGCAATTTTAAAACATAATTTCTGGAAGATATTTGGGGATCTTTGACAATATTTTGAGGACATCTGTATTTTTTTTTAAAAAAACAAGCTGTTTTTTGTTGATATATTGTATTGGTTGATACCTTTTATGGTACTTTTTGTGGCTGTTGTTGGGGACGATTTTTGGGTGAGACTTTTTGGTTTATTTCTAGTATTTTTGGTTGATATTTTCCGTGGATACTTTGGGGTGATGTACATTTTTCAAAGATATTTGGGGAAAACTGTGTGAGGAATATATGGAAGATATTGTGGATATTTGATAGTTATTTGGGTGATATCGGGGATATAAAACAAAATCACCTTAGAGAAGTGGGGCTGGTTTTCCCAAGTCATGAATGGGTTCCCGGGAAATGGGGGCTGGTGATCTCGACGGTGAACTACTTGGCCAAGACACCACGCGGCAGAGCAGGATCACGAATTGCCCTTGCTCGTCGCATTGTGCATACTCATCTGATTTGGATGAAGCTTCTGCAAAGTAACCTGATGGGCGGCTCGTCCGCAGGTCATAATTTCATTTCCGAGGCTTTACAGCACTTTCAGTACATACTAGCTGGGTAGCCGCGTTTGTGAATATAAACTTTGCGCGATGATGTTTGAAGGCGTACCTGCAGTCTTTCGCCAAGATTAGTTGTTGTTTTGTTTAAGTAGGGCAATTTGCAATTGCGGGATATTCTTTCACAGAGTTCCTTGTATGTTTCCTCTGCAAACACCTTTTAGGCGTGTGGAGACCCAAGAGTCTCCCCAAAAACATTTATTTCACCACCTCCCCAAAAACCAAACATTTCAGACATTCATCCCATTTTCTAGTGGTTTTCAGTTCGCCAGTATCTGTAACGATAAACTCGGCCTAAACTCCCATCCCATTCTGCTGGTAGCTCCGTGAAACCAGAGGAAGAAACAAATCCCTGGTAAACAAAATCGTGGTTGCAAAGTTTTGTAAATATTCCTATAGTATGGGTTATAAGTGGTTCTAATCCCCAATAATTAAGCCAGGCAATTTAAATATTATAAGCCCAGCCACCTCATATTTTTCACACCTCAGACATGGTCCCTGAAATATGTGTAAATCCCCCGTACTAAAGCATCGATTCTGTATGGTGTTCAATAAAGGGACACGGATTGACCCCACCTTTTTTGATTGGTCAGCAAATATTCCCATTATGGCTCGTAATGTGTGTGTATATATATATATTATGATATAGAGATATTAACATATATATATATATTATGATATAGAGACGAGATATTATAATACATATATATATATATGTATATGTGTAAATATATATGTATATATATATATATACGTCCCATGGCTTTGTCTGAAAATAGGCTACCTCAAATTGCCATAGTTTCTGTAGTTGATCATCCATTTCCCAATGGAAACGGAGAGCCAGGCCACAGCCCCTTCCAAAGGCCGTCCCCGCGTTGCTGCCCGCCATGATTCGGCGGAAGCCGTTGGCGGCGATGGCCTTGGCATTCTCCAGGCTGGTGCCGTGGAAGAGGTAATGCCTTGGCTGGGATAAACCATGGGAGTTGAGGGGATTTTATGGTGATTAAATGCTGATGACATGGTGATTTCATGGTTTAATGGTGACTTACTGGGATTTAACTAGGAACTGAATATGATGGGAATCTCATACTCCCTTCCCTCATTTATATTCATATTCAACACCCAGAAACCATAGTTGAATAGGGCATGTATTCACATATTTGGCACCATTGAGCGGATGTTTGATATGATCGGATGATGGGATTGAGAATGGTCATCACCTCCATAGATTGCGATCTAACCCCTGCAACTATGGTTATAACATGTTATAACATGTGATATTTATATCCACTTGCAACATCTTAGAACTTATCTTGTAACTGGAACTGCAACCCTCAAGGAGGGTATCACCTGGAGGATCATCCCTTGATTTTCCGATAGAACATGCTGTTCAAGTTTCAAACATGGTGATAGAAGCGACAAACTTAAGGGATTTCCTGGAACCAATGATGATTAGTAAGTAGCTAGCATCTCGGAAAATAGCATGGAATAACCTATTCATGATAACCCCACAAACTGGAGACTTACGATCACCAGGCATATCAACCAATTACTCAATGGGAGAATCCTCCAAGTACCTGTATCAATTAGAGATGGGCGAAACAAAAGGTGCCGGGCCCACAAATGGCTGTTGATTCTCAAGATTCTATACAAACAATTTTGACCCATTCCCAACTGCAAGTGGTTTTCTTCCGATTCCCATGGCTTAGCAGTGGGGATGCTCGCTACGGAGGCGAAAGAATCAACATTTGAATAAGATGAAACCCAATAAACCACCCCCCCAAAAATGGGTGGTAGAACCCATCCCCGGGAAGTTTACGGCTCGATGACTTTGGGTCAGCAACAAAGACTGGGACTGGGATGATTCAAGCGGCTCCACCAAAGGCTTCCGGAGCCTTTGGGTCAGCTCCCCTAAGGGCTCACCTCAGCTGTGACAAGTGAAGGCTATGTGGAAACGACCTATTCCACGTCCACTGAATCACAAACATCCATCTGAAAAAGCATTGGTTGTAAAAGGAAACCCCAAACACAGGGTCTTCTTAAGCTCGTGGAATACAAGTTCTACCACAGAATCCACAAATCGTGCTCGTGATTTGAATTGCTGCAAGATCTATAGGCTGAGCAAGTACCCAGCCATCCACTTCCCATTTCCAATATTTCCATGGACGGTTGTCATTCAAAAGCTGCGAGGATAGAACCCATTTGAGACCCACAGATTTTCACATAATTTTCAACGACGAAACTTAAGCCTTTCGTGGATACACCCACATCAATTCACATCAAGCATTTGAATTTGTCTGAAACTCGTTGAAAAGGGGACCCAGCGGCTCGAGCCCCTGCAAATGCGTCCACATTTGCAGTCACAATAGTCATAGGGACTCCAAGCGCGATAAAATTGGGTGTGAATTGGCCTGTCAAATTGAATGCAATGGCATCTGGGCTCAGACCAGCAGCGGTCAGGGTTCTTCCACTTGGACTTGAAACGGCGTTGAATTCAAGTAAAAGCTGCACAATACCACCAGGCGGGACGCAGCAGGCACCCTCCTCCAGTTTGATGTGGAGGCAGCTGGGTCATCAAATTGCTGGATGCCAGCGATTTGATGACCCAGCTGCCAATTGCTGGGAAACCGTTGAATGCCACGGTTTCGGGCTATACCACATTTTTTCAGACACACCTGGAGCCATAGACCGCAGCACCAGTGACTGGTTTTCACGTGGCCAGTCTCTGGATTGCCATCCAACATCTGCACCTGCGTACAACCAGGGACGGATCCTCGACGTCTCTCCAGAGCGGCGGAAGCATTTTGAAAGCGCTGCCAGAGCTGGGAATTCCTGGGACTTGGGATAGGGAGACCATTTAGATAACGCTAAGATATAGATAGATATAGATAGATATAGATAGATATAGATAGATATAGATAGATATAGATAGATATAGATAGATATAGATAGATATAGAAAGAAAGAGATAGATAGATAGATAGATAATAGATAGATAGATAGATAGATAGATAGATAGAGATAGAGATAGATAGAGATAGATGGAGATAGAGGATAGATGGAGATAGATAGATAGATAGATGATAGATGGAGATAGATACATAGATAGATAGATAGATAGATAGAGATAGATAGATAGATAGGTAAAGATAGGTATAGATAGATAGATAGATAGATAGATAGATAGATAGATAGATAGATAGATAGATAGATAGATAGATAGATAGATAGATAGATAGGTATAGATAGATAGATAGATAGATAGATAGATAGATAGATAGATAGATAGATCGAGGATATAGATAGATAGATAGATAGATAGATAGATAGAGATAGATAGATAGAGATAGAGATAGATAGATAGATACATACCTGCAGATGACATGGGAGTTGTCGGACATACCCAAAAAACGCAAACTCCCATGTCATCTGCAAAGTGAAAAAACAGAAAAATGCATAAGTCCCGTGTCATCTGTAAAGTGCCTCGGAAAAAAATCACATGACATGGGGCCTCTGCAATTGTTTGGGCTCCAAAAAGATGCAAAACATGTCATGTCAACTAACTCACACTCTGTATTTCACATCCCACATGAACAAAGATAGTATATGAGTGTATAACTACCTGCTAGCAGTTAGAATAATCCAAAATTATACGTCAGCAGCTGGAAGATTCCAAAGTCACATGACTCCATTCACCTCCTTGTTCTATTTAACAACTATTTAGCAGCTATTCAGAAGCTATCTAGCAGCTCTTTAGCATTTATTCAGCAACTATTTAGGAGCTATTTAGAAGTTATTTAGCAGCTATTTCGAAGCTATTTAGAAGCCATTTATCAGTTATTCAGCAACTATTTAGCAGCTATTTTGCAACTATTTCGCAGCTATTTTGCAGCTATTTAGCAACTATTTAGCAACTACTTAGCAACTATTGAGCAGCTATTTAGCAGCTATTTAGAAGCTTAGAAACTATTTAGCAGTCATTTAGCAGGTTTTTTAGCTATTGAGTAGCTGCTAACAGCTATTTCAGGAACTATTAGGCAGCTACTAAAGCTATTTAGCATTAATTATCCATCTTGGACCTATATCTAAACTATGAATATATGAACCTATACATACATATATACATACATACATACATGCATGCATGCATGCATACATACACATATATATATAATGTTACACATGTCATGTGCTTTACATGTATGAAATTTGTATACGGTTTTTATTGGTACCAAGATTGAACAATATTGAACCTTAAATAACTCAAATTTCGTTTATAGAGTTGCATGAAGTACCTGTGCATACACACAGGGCAGACCAGGCCTTTGAAAAATATCGAACTATTATTAAACACGTATGCACAATTTTAAGATTTCAACATGTGTTTTTCTCATTTTCTCGTTGTGTCCCTCCCGTTATAGGCTTCCCCGTTGACCCTGTTGTGTTACCCCGGTTGCGCCAAAGTTTTATGTCTGGATTACCTTCCCTCGGTGCCGGGTCAAAGTCCTCGAGCCGGGCTCTTGGAAGTCCCATGTCATGAGGTAAATTCCTCTTCCCGTCTCCTACCTGCCAGTTCCCATCTTGGATGTCCCATCTCCTGTGGTAAATTCCTCTTCCCGTCTCCCTACCTGCCAGTTCCCATCTTGGATGTCCCATCTCCTGTGGTAAATGCCTCTTCCCGTCTCCCTACCTGCCTCCCTACCTGCCAGTTCCCATCTTGGATGTCCCACCTCATGTGGTAAATTCCTCTTCCCGTCTCCCTACCTGCCAGTTCCCATCTTGGAAGTCCCATCTCCTGTGGTAAAATCCTCTTCCCGTCTCCCTACCTGCCAGTTCCCATCTTGAAAGTCCCAAGTCATGTAGTAAATTCCTCTTCCCGTCTCCCTACCTGCCAGTTCCCATCTTGGAAGTCCCATGTCATGTGGTAAATTCCTCTTCCCGTCTCCCTACCTGCCAGTTCCCATCATGCAAGTCCCATGTCATGTGGTAAATTCCTCTTCCCGTCTCCCTACCTGCCAGTTCCCATCTTGGATGTCCCATCTCCTGTGGTAAATTCATCTTCCCGTCTCCCTACCTGCCAGTTCCCATCTTGGAAGTCCCATGTCACGTGGTAAATTCCTCTTCCCGTCTCCCTACCTGCCAGTTCCCATCTTGGAAGTCCCATGTCATGTGGTAAATTCCTCTTCCCGTCTCCCTACCTGCCCCCCAATTTGGATGTCCCATCTCCATCTTGGATGTCCCATCTCATGTGGTAAATTGCTCTTCCCGTCTCCCTACCTGCCAGTTCCCATCTTGGAAGTCCCATGTCATGTAGTAAATTCCTCTTCCCGTCTCCCTACCTGCCAGTTCCCATCTTGGAAGTCCCATGTCATGTGGTAAATTCCTCTTCCCGTCTCCCTATCTGCCAGTTCCCATCTTGGATGTCCCATCTCCTGTGGTAAATTCCTCTTCCGTCTCCCTACCTGCCAGTTCCCATCTGGATGTAAAACTCTGTGGTAAATTCCTCTTCCCGTCTCCCTACCTGCCAGTTCCCATCTTGGATGTCCCATCTCCTGTGGTAAATACCTCTTCCCGTTTCCCTACCTGCCAGTTCCCATCTTGGATGTGCGTCAACATATATAATTATATATATAATCATATATATATAATTATATATATTATAATTATATATAATATAATTATATATATAATTATATATATAATTATATATATACAGTATCATATATATATAAGTAAAATTATATATATAATATCATATATATATATAATTATATATATATAGTATAATTAGATATATATAATTATATTATATATAATTATATATAATTATATATATATATAGTATCATATATATATATAATTATAATCATATATATAATTATATATATATATAATCAGATATATAATCATATATATATAATTATATATAATATAATTATATATATAATAACATATATTTATATAGTATCATATATATATATAATTATAAATATAATATCATATACGCATCACAAGACGTCTGAAATCATAACACATATCGGCATTTTCTTCTCCCTTTAGGCTTCCAATGGCCATCCGCTGCCTGCTTGGATGGGAGCTGGAGCTGCGGCCGCGCCACGGTCGCTGCGGTCGTCGAGGACAGTCGCCACATCGACGGGACGACGAAAAAGGATGGCGCGGAAAGACACCGAAACGCCCGTGGATTTAAGTAAAGAAACATGAAACAGGCTTAAATGATCTTAAATGATCTTAAATGTACACATTTTCATTTTTTGGCTCTTGGCTATCGCTTTGCTGAATGGAAATTCGGTTGAAAACTGCTTAGGGGATGCTTCCAGTCATTTATGAACTCCAATTCATCTCCAGCGGTGTTCCTTTGTTGGATTGCATTGTCAAGTATGTGACTCTCTCGAGGTTTCATGCAAACATGAAATATCTTCCAATTAGTGACACTATGTGACAATGATTAGTTGGCATGTTTTATTTTCGATTGCCCATGCTAGAAAGCAACCATTTGCCATCTATCCAATCTATCCAGCTTTTTGGACTCTGCTTGAAGCCAGCCAGAACATGCCGTGAGCTTTGCCGTGCCAACACCTTTTTTTTTTTGCTAAACGGCTGGCTGATGCGGACAGAGTGGAGCAACATGACCTGAGATTCCACCGAAGGACCCAGACTTCCTGGGGAAGCGATGGCTCATTCTTGAAATCCTGTAACACATTTTAACACGCATGTGGGGAACATTCCCATCAGCAGTGCAAGTAGAATCAGGTAATGATTACAGGGGCTTTGATTGGATATGGTAGATGGAGGCTTCACGAGGCCACTTGATCTTCTGAAAATGCCTGGGATTTGTAACACAAGCAATGGGGAAAGCAACACGTTTTCACAGCATCCGAGTATCTGCCCTTTTCACCAGATTCTGGTACTAGCTGGCAAGCCAATTTTGGCTTCAGCCAACTTGTGCGCAGCATCCAGGTGAAAACTCTGTGACGCTGACTGTCTACATCACACGGTCATACAGTAACATATACTCAGGATACACACACTCATCATCAAATATAACAAATTCTCGGTAGGTGCCCACTGCAGTTTCCTCAGTCAGCTGCTGACATGACATTTTTTGCATACTGGTGCCTTCATATTCTGCCAGCCGTATGTTCCTCTCAAGTACCATGGTGTTTCAGCTGCTGATTGGCTTCAAGTTTGTTTTTCTGCTGGATCTTTTTCCAATATTTCGCCGAACCAATTTTCTCTCCATTTGGGTTCGTCTAGAAATGGTGTAAATCATTGTAAATCCCACAATTTTCAAACAAACTCAATACATACCCATATTTTTGGCTCTATCCCTCCTATATTCCCATTCTGATTTGCTTTGCCACTGAAATTATTCTTTTTCTGATGGACATGGAATTTCCCACACTTCTGCCATCAGTTCTTCCAAACAAAACAGACACACCGCCGGAAAAATCATCAAAAAGTAGTTCCAAACCCACTTCTGCCTGCTGTTTTTTCGCCAAAAGACCTTGGAAAACCCAAAAAACATCTCCAAACAATTCGTCAGTGCCCATATTTCCCCGGCTCCAACCAGGCTGCTCGCTCCGCCAACGCAGAGTCGTAGCTGTCCCCGTGCAAGGCGTCGGCCAAGGTTAGGGCCACCGTGGGATCCTGGGGATATTTTTGGATAACATATATATATATATAATATAATATAATATAAGATACGATAATATATGATAATGTATCCTTCCGGTCTTAGAAGGCATGATAAGGCTATATCTGTTACTAGTTGTTGTGTCTTTTTTCTAACTTGGGAATCTTGCCTTCCATTGCAGATTGGTGAATTGTTTTTGGTGTTATGCTTTTTTGGTGAGCTTTTTAGGCATTTTTGGGCAATTTTAAAACATAATTTCTGGAAGAGGATCTTTGACGATATTTTGAGGATATCTGTATTAAAAAAAACAAACTGTTTTTTGTTTGACATATGTTTAAGGATTCTTTGATGAGGTTTTGGCATTTTGCATCTTTTTGCCGATTCATTTTCTGTTTTATCTTTATTTCTAGTATTTTTGGTTGATATTTTCCGTGGATACTTTGGGGTGATGTACATTTTTCAAAGATATTTGGGGAAAACTGTGTGAGGAATATATGGAAGATATTGTGGATATTTGATAATTATTTGGGTGATATCGGGGATATAAAACAAAATCACCTTAGAGAAGTGGGGCTGGTTTTCCCAAGTCATGAATGGGTTCCCGGGAAATGGGGGCTGGTGATCTCGACGGTGAACTACTTGGCCAAGACACCACGCGGCAGAGCAGGATCACGAATTGCCCTTGCTCGTCGCATTGTGCATACTCATCTGATTTGGATGAAGCTTCTGCAAAGTAACCTGATGGGCGGCTCGTCCGCAGGTCATAATCTCTTTTCCGAGGCTTTACAGCACTTTCAGTACATACTAGCTGGGTAGCCGCGTTTGTGAATATAAACTTTGCGCGATGATGTTTGAAGGCGTACCTGCAGTCTTTCGCCAAGATTAGTTGTTGTTTTGTTTAAGTAGGGCAATTTGCAATTGCGGGATATTCTTTCACAGAGTTCCTTGTATGTTTCCTCTGCAAACACCTTTTGGGCGTGTGGAGACCCAAGAGTCTCCCCAAAAACATATATTTCACCACCTCCACAAAAACCAAACATTTCAAACATTCATCCCATTTTCTAGTGGTTTTCAGTTCCCCAGTATCTGTAACGATAAACTCGGCCTAAACTCCCATCCCATTCTGCTGGTAGCTCCGTGACACCAGAGGAAGAAACAAATCCCTGGTAAACAATATCGTGGTTGCAAAGTTTTGTAAATGTTCCTATAGTATGGGTTATAAGTGGTTCTAATCCCCAATAATTAAGCCAGGAAATTTAAATATTATAAGCCCAGCCCCCTCATATTTTTCACACCTCAGAAATGGTCCCTGAAATATGTGTAAATCCCCCGTACTAAAGCATCGATTCTGTATGGTGTTTAATAAAGGGACATGGATTGACCCCACCTTTTTTGATTGGTCAGCAAATATTCCCATTATGGCTCGTAATGTGTGTATATATATATTATGATATAGAGATATTATAATATATATATATTATGATATAGAGATATTATAATACATATATATATATATGTATGTATTTAATATAAATATATGTATATATATATATATGTATATATATATGTATAAATATATATATATGTAAATAATATATATATGTATATATATATGTATATATATATGTAAATAATATATATATATGTATATATATATATGTTGGTATATATATGTATGTATATATATATATATGGGTCCCATGGCTTTGTCTGAAAATAGGCTACCTCAAATTGCCATAGTTTCTGTCGTTGATCATCCATGTCCCAATGGAAACGGAGAGCCAGGCCACAGCCCCTTCCAAAGGCCGTCCCCGCGTTGCTGCCCGCCATGATTCGGCGGAAGCCGTTGGCGGCGATGGCCTTGGCATTCTCCGGGCTGGTGCCGTGGAAGAGGTAATGCCTTGGCTGGGATAAACCATGGGAGTTGAGGGGATTTTATGGTGATTAAATGCTGATGAAATGGTGATTTCATGGTTTAATGGTGACTTACTGGGATTTAACTAGGAACTGAATATGATGGGAATCTCATACTCCCTTCCCTCATTTATATTCATATTCAACACCCAGAAACCATAGTTGAATAGGGCATGTATTCGCATATTTGGCACCATTGAGCGGATGTTTGATATGATCGGATGATGGGATTGAGAATGGTCATCACCTCCATAGATTGCGATCTAACCCCTGCAACTATGGTTATAACATGTTATAACATGTGATATTTATATCCACTTGCAACATCTTAGAACTTATCTTGTAACTGGAACTGCAACTCAAGGAGGGTATCACCTGGAGGATCATCCCTAGATTTTCCGATAGAACATGCTGTTCAAGTTTCAAACATGGGGATAGAAGCGACAAACTTAAGGGATTTCCTGGAACCAATGATGATTAGTAAGTAGCTAGCATCTCGGAAAATAGCATGGAATAACCTATTCATGATAACCCCACAAACTGGAGACTTACGATCACCAGGCATATCAACCAATTACTCAATGGGAGAATCCTCCAAGTACCTGTATCAATTAGAGATGGGCGAAACAAAAGGTGCCGGGCCCACAAATGGCTGTTGATTCTCAAGATTCTATACAAACAATTTTGACCCATTCCCAACTGCAAGTGGTTTTCTTCCGATTCCCATGGCTTAGCAGTGGGGATGCTCGCTGCGGAGGCGAAAGAATCAACATTTGAATAAGATGAAACCCAATAAACCACCCCCCAAAAATGGGTGGTAGAACCCATCCCCGGGAAGTTACGGCTCGATGACTTTGGGTAAGCAACAAAGACTGGGACTGGGATGATTCAAGCGGCTCCACCAAAGGCTTCCGGAGCCTTTGGGTCAGCTCCCCTAAGGGCTCACCTCAGCTGTGACAAGTGAAGGCTATGTGGAAACGACCTATTCCACGTCCACTGAATCACAAACATCCATCTGAAAAAGCATTGGTTGTAAAAGGAAAACCCAAACACAGGGTCTTCTTAAGCTCGTGGGATACAAGTTCTACCACAGAATCCACAAATCGTGCTCGTGATTTGAATTGCTGCAAGATCTAATATAGGCTGAGCAAGTACCCAGCCATCCACTTCCCATTTCCAATATTTCCATGGACGGTTGTCATTCAAAAGCTGCGAGGATAGAACCCATTTGAGACCCACAGATTTTCACATGATTTTCAACGACGAAACTTAAGCCTTTCGTAGATACACCCACATCAATTCACATCAAGCATTTGAGTTTGTCTGAAAATCGTTGAAAAGGGGACCCAGCGGCTCGAGCCCCTGCAAATGCGTCCACATTTGCAGTCACAATAGTCATAGGGACTCCAAGCGCGATAAAATTGGGTGTGAATTGGCCTGTCAAATTGAATGCAATGGCATCTGGGCTCAGACCAGCAGCGGTCAGGGTTCTTCCACTTGGACTTGAAACGGCGTTGAATTCAAGTAAAAGCTGCACAATACCACCAGGCTTCTCCTAGCACCACCCTCCTCCAGTTTGACGTGGAGGCGAGCAGTCACTGCTCGCCTCCACATCAAACTGCAGGAGGGTGGGGCTAGGGGAAAGAGTCGTGCCAACTAGTGAGAGACTCTGAGCAACCCATAGTGTTCCAAGACTGAAATTGCCAGCACAATCAGGGGTCGCCAAGGCCTGACTGCAGCCGATAAGTCCAAACTCCATTACAAATTCTGCGCCCTTTTGGGTTGAAAGGTTGCCGCTGGCTTCCAGCAATTTGATGACCCAGCTGCCAATTGCTGGTTTCGGGCTATACCACATTTTTTCAGACACACCTGGAGCCATAGACTGCAGCACCAGTGACTGGTTTTCACGTGGCCAGTCTCTGGACTGCCATCCAACATCTGCACCTGCGTACAACCAGGGACGGATCCTCGACGTCTCGCCAGAGCGGCGGAAGCATTTTGAAAGCGCTGCCAGAGCTGGGAATTCCTGGGACTTGGGATAGGGAGACCATTTAGATAACGCCAAGATATAGATAGATATAGATAGATATAGATAGATATGATAGATAGAGATAGAAAGAAATAGATAGAGATAGAAAGAAATAGATAGAGATAGATAGAGATAGATAGAGATAGAGATAGATAGATATAGACAGATATAGATAGACATAGACAAATATAGGTAGATATAGATAGAGAAAGATAGATATAGACAGATATAGACAGCATTTGCAGTTTTATCTTTATTTCTAGTATTTTTGGTTGATATTTTCCGTGGATACTTTGGGGTGATGTGCATTTTTCAAATATATTTGGGGAAAACTGTGTGAGGAATATATGGAAGATATTGTGGATATTTGATAATTATTTGGGTGATATCGGGGATATAAAACAAAATCACCTTAGAGAAGTGGGGCTGGTTTTCCCAAGTCATGAATGGGTTCCCGGGAAATGGGGACTGGTGATCTCGACGGTGAACTACTTGGCCAAGACACCACGCGGCAGAGCAGGATCACGAATTGCCCTTGCTCCTCGCATTGTGCACACTCATCTGATTTGGATAAAGCTTCTGCAAAGTAACCTGATGGGCGGCTCGTCCGCAGGTCGTAATCTCATTTCCGAGGCTTTACAGCACTCTCAGTACATACTAGCTGGGTAGCCGCATTCGTGAATACAAACTTTGCGCGATGATGTTTGAAGGCGTACCTGCAGTCTTTCGCCAAGATTAGTTGTTGTTTTGTTTAAGTAGGGCAATTTGCAATTGCGGGATATTCTTTCACAGAGTTCCTTGTATGTTTCCTCTGCAAACACCTTTTGGGCGTGTGGAGACCCAAGAGTCTCCCCAAAAACATATATTTCACCACCTCCCCAAAAACCAAACATTTCAGACATTCATCCCATTTTCTAGTGGCTTTCAGTTCCCCAGTATCTGTAACGATAAACTCGGCCTAAACTCCCATCCCATTCTGCTGGTAGCTCCGTGAAACCAGAGGAAGGAACAAATCCCTGGTAAACAAAATCGTGGTTGCAAAGTTTTGTAAATATTCCTATAGTATGGGTTATAAGTGGTTCTAATCCCCAATAATTTAGCCAGGAAATTTAAATATTATAAGCCCAGGCCCCTCATATTTTTCACACCTCAGAAATGGTCCCTGAAATATGTGTAAATCCCCCGTACTAAAGCATCGATTCTGTATGGTGTTTAATAAAGGGACATGGATTGACCCCACCTTTTTTGATTGGTCAGCAAATATTCCCATTATGGCTCGTAATGTGTGTATATATATATATGATATAGAGATATTATAATACATATATATATATATATTATGATATAGAGATGTATATATATATATATATGTATATATATATGTATATATATATATATGTATATATGTTAGTATATATATATGGGTCCCATGGCTTTGTCTGAAAATAGGCTACCTCAGATTGCCATAGTTTCTGTAGTTGATCATCCATTTCCCAATGGAAACGGAGAGCCAGGCCACAGCCCCTTCCAAAGGCCGTCCCCGCGTTGCTGCCCGCCATGATTCGGCGGAAGCCGTTGGCGGCGATGGCCTTGGCATTCTCCGGGCTGGTACCGTGGAAGAGGTAATGCCTTGGCTGGGATAAACCATGGGAGTTGAGGGGATTTTATGGTGATTAAGTGCTGATGAAATGGTGATTTCATGGTTTAATGGTGACTTACTGGGATTTAACTAGGAACTGAATATGATGGGAATCTCATACTCCCTTCCCTCATTTATAATCATATTCAACACCCAGAAACCATAGTTGAATAGGGCATGTATTCGCATATTTGGCACCATTGAGCGGATGTTTGATATGATCGGATGATGGGATTGAGAATGGTCATCACCTCCATAGATTGCGATCTAACCCCTGCAACTATGGTTATAACATGTTATAACATGTGATATTTATATCCACTTGCAACATCTTAGAACTTATCTTGTAACTGGAACTGCAACTCAAGGAGGGTATCACCTGGAGGATCATCCCTAGATTTTCCGATAGAACATGCTGTTCAAGTTTCAAACATGGGGATAGAAGCGACAAACTTAAGGGATTTCCTGGAACCAATGATGATTAGTAAGTAGCTAGCATCTCGGAAAATAGCATGGAATAACCTATTCATGATAACCCCACAAACTGGAGACTTACGATCACCAGGCATATCAACCAATTACTCAATGGGAGAATCCTCCAAGTACCTGTATCAATTAGAGATGGGCGAAACAAAAGGTGCCGGGCCCACAAATGGCTGTTGATTCTCAAGATTCTATACAAACAATTTTGACCCATTCCCAACTGCAAGTGGTTTTCTTCCAATTCCCATGGCTTAGCAGTGGGGATGCTCGCTACGGAGGCGAAAGAATCAACATTTGAATAAGATGAAACCCAATAAACCACCCCCCCAAAAATGGGTGGTAGAACCCATCCCCGGGAAGTTTACGGCTCGATGACTTTGGGTAAGCAACAAAGACTGGGACTGGGATGATTCAAGCGGCTCCACCAAAGGCTTCCGGAGCCTTTGGGTCAGCTCCCCTAAGGGCTCACCTCAGCTGTGACAAGTGAAGGCTATGTGGAAACGACCTATTCCACGTCCACTGAATCACAAACATCCATCTGAAAAAGCATTGGTTGTAAAAGGAAAACCCAAACACAGGGTCTTCTTAAGCTCGTGGAATACAAGTTCTACCACAGAATCCACAAATCGTGCTCGTGATTTGAATTGCTGCAAGATCTATAGGCTGAGCAAGTACCCAGCCATCCACTTCCCATTTCCAATATTTCCATGGACGGTTGTCATTCAAAAGCTGCGAGGATAGAACCCATTTGAGACCCACAGATTTTCACATGATTTTCAACGACGAAACTTAAGCCTTTCGTGGATACACCCACATCAATTCACATCAAGCATTTGAGTTTGTCTGAAAATCGTTGAAAAGGGGACCCAGCGGCTCGAGCCCCTGCAAATGCGTCCACATTTGCAGTCACAATAGTCATAGGGACTCCGAGCGCGATAAAATTGGGTGTGAATTGGCCTGTCAAATTGAATGCAATGGCATCTGGGCTCAGACCAGCAGCGGTCAGGGTTCTTCCACTTGGACTTGAAACGGCGTTGAATTCAAGTAAAAGCTGCACAATACCACCAGGCTTCTCCTAGCACCACCCTCCTCCAGTTTGACGTGGAGGCGAGCAGTCACTGCTCGCCTCCACATCAAACTGCAGGAGGGTGGGGCTAGGGGAAAGAGTCGTGCCAACTAGTGAGAGACTCTGAGCAACCCATAGTGTTCCAAGACTGAAATTGCCAGCACAATCAGGGGTCGCCAAGGCCTGACTGCAGCCGATAAGTCCAAACTCCATTACAAATTCTGCGCCCTTTTGGGTTGAAAGGTTGCCGCTGGCTTCCAGCAATTTGATGACCCAGCTGCCAATTGCTGGTTTCGGGCTATACCACATTTTTTCAGACACACCTGGAGCCATAGACTGCAGCACCAGTGACTGGTTTTCACGTGGCCAGTCTCTGGACTGCCATCCAACATCTGCACCTGCGTACAACCAGGGACGGATCCTCGACGTCTCGCCAGAGCGGCGGAAGCATTTTGAAAGCGCTGCCAGAGCTGGGAATTCCTGGGACTTGGGATAGGGAGACCATTTAGATAACGCCAAGATATAGATAGATATAGATAGATATAGATAGATATGATAGATAGAGATAGAAAGAAATAGATAGATAGATAGAAATAGATAATAGATAGATAGAGATAGATAGAGATAGAGATAGATAGATAGAGATAGATAGATATAGACAGATAGATAGATACATAGATAGATAGAGAAAGATAGATAGATAGACTACCTGCAGATGACATGGGAGTTGTCGGACATACCCAAAAAACGCAAACTCCCATGTCATCTGCAAAGTGAAAAAACAGAAAAATGCATAAGTCCCGTGTCATCTGTAAAGTGCCTCGGAAAAAAATCACATGACATGGGACCTCTGCAATTGTTTGGGCTCCAAAAAGATGCAAAACATGTCATGTCAACTAACTCACACTCTGTACATTTCACATCCCACATGAACAAAGATAGTATATGAGTGTATAACTACCTGCTAGCAGTTAGAATAATCCAAAATTATACGTCAGCAGCTGGAAGATTCCAAAGTCACATGAATCCATTCACCTCCTTGTTCTATTTAACAACTATTTAGCAGCTATTCAGAAGCTATCTAGCAGCTCTTTAGCATTTATTCAGCAACTATTTAGGAGCTATTTAGAAGTTATTTAGCAGCTATTTCGAAGCTATTTAGAAGCCATTTATCAGTTATTCAGCAACTATTTAGCAGCTATTTTGCAACTATTTCGCAGCTATTTTGCAGCTATTTAGCAACTATTTAGCAACTACTTAGCAACTATTGAGCAGCTATTTAGCAGCTATTTAGAAGCTTAGAAACTATTTAGCAGTCATTTAGCAGGTTTTTTAGCTATTGAGTAGCTGCTAACAGCTATTTCAGGAACTATTAGGCAGCTACTAAAGCTATTTAGCATTATCCATCTTGGACCTATATCTAAACTATGAATATATGAACCTATACATACATACATACATGCATGCATGCATACATACACATATATATATAATGTTACACATGTCATGTGCTTTACATGTATGAAATTTGTATACGGTTTTTATTGGTACCAAGATTGAACAATATTGAACCTTAAATAACTCAAATTTCGTTTATAGAGTTGCATGAAGTACCTGTGCATACACACAGGGCAGACCAGGCCTTTGAAAAATATCGAACTATTATTAAACACGTATGCACAATTTTAAGATTTCAACATGTGTTTTTCTCATTTTCTCGTTGTGTCCCTCCCGTTATAGGCTTCCCCGTTGACCCTGTTGTGTTACCCCGGTTGCGCCAAAGTTTTATGTCTGGATTACCTTCCCTCGGTGCCGGGTCAAAGTCCTCGAGCCGGGCTCTTGGAAGTCCCATGTCATGAGGTAAATTCCTCTTCCCGTCTCCTACCTGCCAGTTCCCATCTTGGATGTCCCATCTCCTGTGGTAAATTCCTCTTCCCGTCTCCCTACCTGCCAGTTCCCATCTTGGATGTCCCATCCCCTTGGTAAATTCGTCTTCCGTCTCCCTACCTGCCAGTTCCCATCTTGCCGTGTCCCATCTCATGTGGTAGATTCTCTTGTCTCCCTTGCCAGTTCCCAAAGTATGGCCTACCTGCCAGTTCCCATCTTGGATGTCCCATCTGGTGTGGTACTTCCTTTCCCGTCTTACCTGCCAGTTCCCATCTTACTGATCTCATGTGGTAGATTCCTCTTCCCGTCTCCCTATAGCCAGTAGGGCATTGGAAGCCCATGTAATGTTAAATTCCTCTTGTATCCCTATCTTGTCTCCCTATAGCATGATGTTTGAGATGTGTCCTCTATTCCCTGCAACTATGGCTATAACATGTTATAACATGTGATATTTATATCCACTTGCAACATCTTAGAACTTATCTTGTAACTGGAACTGCAACTCAAGGAGGGTATCACCTGGAGGATCATCCCTTGATTTTCCGATAGAACATGCTGTTCAAGTTTCAAACATGGGGATAGAAGCGACAAACTTAAGGGATTTCCTGGAACCAATGATGATTAGTAAGTAGCTAGCATCTCGGAAAATAGCATGGAATAACCTATTCATGATAACCCCACAAACTGGAGACTTACGATCACCAGGCATATCAACCAATTACTCAATGGGAGAATCCTCCAAGTACCTGTATCAATTAGAGATGGGCGAAACAAAAGGTGCCGGGCCCACAAATGGCTGTTGATTCTCAAGATTCTATACAAACAATTTTGACCCATTCCCAACTGCAAGTGGTTTTCTTCCGATTCCCATGGCTTAGCAGTGGGGATGCTCGCTGCGGAGGCGAAAGAATCAACATTTGAATAAGATGAAACCCAATAAACCACCCCCCAAAAATGGGTGGTAGAACCCATCCCCGGGAAGTTACGGCTCGATGACTTTGGGTAAGCAACAAAGACTGGGACTGGGATGATTCAAGCGGCTCCACCAAAGGCTTCCGGAGCCTTTGGGTCAGCTCCCCTAAGGGCTCACCTCAGCTGTGACAAGTGAAGGCTATGTGGAAACGACCTATTCCACGTCCACTGAATCACAAACATCCATCTGAAAAAGCATTGGTTGTAAAAGGAAAACCCAAACACAGGGTCTTCTTAAGCTCGTGGAATACAAGTTCTACCACAGAATCCACAAATCGTGCTCGTGATTTGAATTGCTGCAAGATCTATAGGCTGAGCAAGTACCCAGCCATCCACTTCCCATTCCAATATTTCCATGGACGCTGGTCATTCAAAAGCTGCGAGGATAGAACCCATTTGAGACCCACAGATTTTCACATGATTTTCAACGACGAAACTTAAGCCTTTCGTGGATACACCCACATCAATTCACATCAAGCATTTGAGTTTGTCTGAAAATCGTTGAAAAGGGGACCCAGCGGCTCGAGCCCCTGCAAATGCGTCCACATTTGCAGTCACAATAGTCATAGGGACTCCGAGCGCGATAAAATTGGGTGTGAATTGGCCTGTCAAATTGAATGCAATGGCATCTGGGCTCAGACCAGCAGCGGTCAGGGTTCCTCCACTTGGACTTGAAACGGCGTTGAATTCAAGTAAAAGCTGCACAATACCACCAGGCTTCTCCTAGCACCACCCTCCTCCAGTTTGATGTGGAGGCGAGCAGTCACTGCTCGCCTCCACATCAAACTGGAGGAGGGTGGGGCTAGGGGAAAGAGTCGTGCCCACTAGTGAGAGACTCTGAGCAACCCATAGTGTTCCAAGACTGAAACTGCCAGCGCAATCAGGGGTCGCCAAGACCTGACTGCAGCCGATAAGTCCAAACTCCATTACAAATTCTTCGCCCTTTTGGGTTGAAAGGTTGTCGCTGGCTTCCAGCAATTTGATGACCCAGCTGCCAATTGCTGGGAAGCCGTTGAATGCCACGGTTTCGGGCTATACCACATTTTTTCAGACACACCTGGAGCCATAGACTGCAGCACCAGTGACTGGTTTTCACGTGGCCAGTCTCTTGACTGCCATCCAACATCTCCACCTGCGTACAACCAGGGACGGATCCTCGACGTCTCTCCAGAGCGGCGGAAGCATTTTGAAAGCGCTGCCAGAGCTGGGAATTCCTGGGACTTGGGATAGGGAGACCATTTAGATAACGCTAAGATATAGATAGATATAGATAGATATAGATAGATATAGATAGATATAGATAGATATAGAAAGATAGAGATAGAAAGAAATAGATATAGATAGATAGAGATAGATAGAGATAGAGATAGATGGAGATACATGGAGATAGATGGAGATACATAGAGATAGATATAGATAGATCGAGATAGATATATAGATAGATATAGATAGACATGGATAGATATAGGTAGATATAGATAGAGATAGATAGACATAGACAGATATAGACAGATATAGATAGACATAGATAAATATAGGTAGATATAGATAAAGATGGATAGATATAGACAGATATAGACAGCATTTGCTGTTTTATCTTTATTTCTAGTATTTTTGGTTGATATTTTCCGTGGATACTTTGGGGTGATGTACATTTTTCAAATATATATTTGGGGAAAACTGTGTGAGGAATATATGGAAGATATTGTGGATATTTGATAATTATTTGGGTGATATCGGGGATATAAAACAACATCACCTTATAGAAGTGGGGCTGGTTTTCCCAAGTCATGAATGGGTTCCCGGGAAATGGGGACTGGTGATCTCGACGGTGAACTACTTTGCCAAGACACCACGCGGCAGAGCAGGATCACGAATTGCCCTTGCTCGTCGCATTGTGCACACTCATCTGATTTGGATAAAGCTTCTGCAAAGTAACCTGATGGGCGGCTCGTCCGCAGGTCATAATCTCATTTCCGAGGCTTTACAGCACTCTCAGTACATACTAGCTGGGTAGCCGCATTCGTGAATACAAACTTTGCGCGATGATGTTTGAAGGCGTACCTGCAGTCTTTCGCCAAGATTAGTTGTTGTTTTGTTTAAGTAGGGCAATTTGCAATTGCGGGATATTCTTTCACAAAGTTCCTTGTATGTTTCCTCTGCAAACACCTTTTGGGCGTGTGGAGACCCAAGAGTCTCCCCAAAAACATTTATTTCACCACCTCCCCAAAAACCAAACATTTCAGACATTCATCCCATTTTCTAGTGGCTTTCAGTTCCCCAGTATCTGTAACGATAAACTCGGCCTAAACTCCCATCCCATTCTGCTGGTAGCTCCGTGAAACCAGAGGAAGAAACAAATCCCTGGTAAACAAAATCGTGGTTGCAAAGTTTTGTAAATATTCCTATAGTATGGGTTATAAGTGGTTCTAATCCCCAATAATTAAGCCAGGAAATTTAAATATTATAAGCCCAGGCCCCTCATATTTTTCACACCTCAGAAATGGTCCCTGAAATATGTGTAAATCCCCCGTACTAAAGCATCGATTCTGTATGGTGTTTAATAAAGGGACATGGATTGACCCCACCTTTTTTGATTGGTCAGCAAATATTCCCATTATGGCTCGTAATGTGTGTATATATATTATGATATAGAGATATTATAATACATATATATATATCTATTATGATATAGAGATATTATATTACATATATATATAATATATATATATATACATATATATATACATGTATATATGTATATATGTATATATGTATATATGCATATATGTATATATATATATATGTATATATGTTAGTATATATATATGGGTCCCATGGCTTTGTCTGAAAATAGGCTACCTCAAATTGCCATAGTTTCTGTAGTTGATCATCCATTTCCCAATGGAAACGGAGAGCCAGGCCACAGCCCCTTCCAAAGGCCGTCCCCGCGTTGCTGCCCGCCATGATTCGGCGGAAGCCGTTGGCGGCGATGGCCTTGGCATTCTCCGGGCTGGTACCGTGGAAGAGGTAATGCCTTGGCTGGGATAAACCATGGGAGTTGAGGGGATTTTATGGTGATTAAATGCTGATGAAATGGTGATTTCATGGTTTAATGGTGACTTACTGGGATTTAACTAGGAACTGAATATGATGGGAATCTCATACTCCCTTCCCTCATTTATATTCATATTCAACACCCAGAAACCATAGTTGAATAGGGCATGTATTCACATATTTGGCACCATCGAGCGGATGTTTGATATGATCGGATGATGGGATTGAGAATGGTCATCACCTCCATAGATTGCGATCTAACCCCTGCAACTATGGCTATAACATGTTATAACATGTGATATTTATATCCACTTGCAACATCTTAGAACTTATCTTGTAACTGGAACTGCAACCCTCAAGGAGGGTATCACCTGGAGGATCATCCCTTGATTTTCCGATAGAACATGCTGTTCAAGTATCAAACATGGGGATAGAAGCGACAAACTTAAGGGATTTCCTGGAACCAATGATGATTAGTAAGTAGCTAGCATCTCGGAAAATAGCATGGAACAACCTATTCATGATAACCCCACAAACTGGAGACTTACGAGCACCAGGCATATCAACCAATTACTCAATGGGAGAATCCTCCAAGTACCTGTATCAATTAGGGATGGGCGAAACAAAAGGTGCCGGGCCCACAAATGGCTGTTGATTCTCAAGATTCTATACAAACAATTTTGACCCATTCCCAACTGCAAGTGGTTTTCTTCCGATTCCCATGGCTTAGCAGTGGGGATGCTCGCTACGGAGGCGAAAGAATCAACATTTGAATAAGATGAAACCCAATAAACCACCCCCCCAAAAATGGGTGGTAGAACCCATCCCCGGGAAGTTTACGGCTCGATGACTTTGGGTCAGCAACAAAGACTGGGACTGGGATGATTCAAGCGGCTCCACCAAAGGCTTCCGGAGCCTTTGGGTCAGCTCCCCTAAGGGCTCACCTCAGCTGTGACAAGTGAAGGCTATGTGGAAACGACCTATTCCACGTCCACTGAATCACAAACATCCATCTGAAAAAGCATTGGTTGTAAAAGGAAAACCCAAACACAGGGTCTTCTTAAGCTCGTGGGATACAAGTTCTACCACAGAATCCACAAATCGTGCTCGTGATTTGAATTGCTGCAAGATCTAATATAGGCTGAGCAAGTACCCAGCCATCCACTTCCCATTTCCAATATTTCCATGGACGGTTGTCATTCAAAAGCTGCGAGGATAGAACCCATTTGAGACCCACAGATTTTCACATAATTTTCAACGACGAAACTTAAGCCTTTCGTGGATACACCCACATCAATTCACATCAAGCATTTGAATTTGTCTGAAAATCGTTGAAAAGGGGACCCAGCGGCTCGAGCCCCTGCAAATGCGTCCACACTTGCAGTCACAATAGTCATAGGGACTCCAAGCGCGATAAAATTGGGTGTGAATTGGCCTGTCAAATTGAATGCAATGGCATCTGGGCTCAGACCAGCAGCGGTCAGGGTTCTTCCACTTGGACTTGAAACGGCGTTGAATTCAAGTAAAAGCTGCACAATACCACCAGGCGGGACGCAGCAGGCACCCTCCTCCAGTTTGATGTGGAGGCAGCTGGGTCATCAAATTGCTGGATGCCAGCGATTTGATGACCCAGCTGCCAATTGCTGGGAAACCGTTGAATGCCACGGTTTCGGGCTATACCACATTTTTTCAGACACACCTGGAGCCATAGACCGCAGCACCAGTGACTGGTTTTCACGTGGCCAGTCTCTGGACTGCCATCCAACATCTCCACCTGCGTACAACCAGGGACGGATCCTCGACGTCTCTCCAGAGCGGCGGAAGCATTTTGAAAGCGCTGCCAGAGCTGGGAATTCCTGGGACTTGGGATAGGGAGACCATTTAGATAACGCTAAGATATAGATAGATATAGATAGATATAGATAGATATAGATAGATATAGAAAGATAGAGATAGATAGAAATAGATATAGATAGATAGAAATAGATATAGATAGATAGAGATAGATAGAGATAGAGATAGATAGAGATAGATGGAGATAGAGGATAGATGGAGATAGATAGATACATAGATAGATAGATAGATAGATATAGATAAATAGATAGATAGAAAGATAGATAGATAGATAGATAGATAGGTATAGATAGATAGGTATAGATAGATAGATAGATAGGTATAGATAGATAGGTATAGATAGATAGATAGATAGATAGATAGATCGATCGATCGATCGATAGATAGATAGATAGATAGATTAGATAGAGAGATAGAGAGATAGATAGATAGATATACTACCTGCAGATGACATGGGAGTTGTCGGACATACCCAAAAAACGCAAACTCCCATGTCATCTGCAAAGTGAAAAAACAGAAAAATGCATAAGTCCCGTGTCATCTGTAAAGTGCCTCGGAAAAAAATCACATGACATGGGACCTCTGCAATTGTTTGGGCTCCAAAAAGATGCAAAACATGTCATGTCAACTAACTCACACTCTGTACATTTCACATCCCACATGAACAAAGATAGTATATGAGTGTATAACTACCTGCTAGCAGTTAGAATAATCCAAAATTATACGTCAGCAGCTGGAAGATTCCAAAGTCACATGAATCCATTCACCTCCTTGTTCTATTTAACAACTATTTAGCAGCTATTCAGAAGCTATCTAGCAGCTCTTTAGCATTTATTCAGCAACTATTTAGGAGCTATTTAGAAGTTATTTAGCAGCTATTTCGAAGCTATTTAGAAGCCATTTATCAGTTATTCAGCAACTATTTAGCAGCTATTTTGCAACTATTTCGCAGCTATTTTGCAGCTATTTAGCAACTATTTAGCAACTACTTAGCAACTATTGAGCAGCTATTTAGCAGCTATTTAGAAGCTTAGAAACTATTTAGCAGTCATTTAGCAGGTTTTTTAGCTATTGAGTAGCTGCTAACAGCTATTTCAGGAACTATTAGGCAGCTACTAAAGCTATTTAGCATTATCCATCTTGGACCTATATCTAAACTATGAATATATGAACCTATACATACATACATACATGCATGCATGCATACATACACATATATATATAATGTTACACATGTCATGTGCTTTACATGTATGAAATTTGTATACGGTTTTTATTGGTACCAAGATTGAACAATATTGAACCTTAAATAACTCAAATTTCGTTTATAGAGTTGCATGAAGTACCTGTGCATACACACAGGGCAGACCAGGCCTTTGAAAAATATCGAACTATTATTAAACACGTATGCACAATTTTAAGATTTCAACATGTGTTTTTCTCATTTTCTCGTTGTGTCCCTCCCGTTATAGGCTTCCCCGTTGACCCTGTTGTGTTACCCCGGTTGCGCCAAAGTTTTATGTCTGGATTACCTTCCCTCGGTGCCGGGTCAAAGTCCTCGAGCCGGGCTCTTGGAAGTCCCATGTCATGAGGTAAATTCCTCTTCCCGTCTCCTACCTGCCAGTTCCCATCTTGGATGTCCCATCTCCTGTGGTAAATTCCTCTTCCCGTCTCCCTACCTGCCAGTTCCCATCTTGGATGTCCCATCTCCTGTGGTAAATTCCTCTTCCCGTCTCCCTACCTGCCAGTTCCCATCTTGGATGTCCCATCTCATGTGGTAGATTCCTCTTCCCGTCTCCCTACCTGCCAGTTCCCATCTTGGAAGTCCCATGTAATGTGGTCTCCCTACCTGCCAGTTCCCATCTTGGATGTCCCATCTCATGTGGTAGATTCCTCTTCCCGTCTCCCTACCTGCCAGTTCCCATCTTGGAAGTCCCATGTAATGTGGTAAATTCCTCTTCCCGTCTCCCTACCTCTTCCCGTCTCCCTATAGCATGATGTTTGAGGTGTGTCCTTCATTCCTAGTGCAGCAGTTCAACAACTGCTTGCAAGCCAAAGGAAGTGCCGTGTACGGGCACAAAAGAGGGATTTATTGGATCCATCGCCAAGCAACTCATCCGACGAGTTGAAGGATCTGAAGATTTTGGGTGGATTGCCTAACCTCAGCGATCCACTCATGGCAATGACCCAATGACCCAATGACCCAATGACCCAGTGCCATGGTTTCCTCAGTTTCCTCTGACATCTCCAGCTGCGCTGGAAGTATTTTCGATGTCGCAGATGAAAGAATGCCCTGGCTGATGAATGAGAAATGGTACGCCCAAATAGTATCAAATAGCGAGAGTAGATGAGAATACTCTGGTTACATCTAGTTACCCCAATCTGCTATCAAAATGGATCACAATGGTAACCCCCCCCACTCAAACAACCCAGGGGTGTCGCAAAACCTGTGCTTGACAAAGCAGCTTCAGGTTGGTCATCTTCTCTGCCCATTCATCAATGTCTGGCAGTCTCTGCAATAACGCCTTGGCGCACGCATTTATTATGGCCAGGTGGGAATGGATGAAAAACGGGCTCTGACACTTTGTTCTTTTCACCGGAAGGGGGTGGAGCGTGAAGGTCCGACTTTTGTCAGAAAAAACTTCGGGGGCCCCAAGTTGTTACTGTCTGAGCTGCAACAAGGCTTCAGGTGTCTTGGGGCTACAATTTGCCAAGCTGGAGAGAAGTCATATAATGAATGTTCACGATGGAACTCGTGAACTCTTCCATGGAATGTTTTGTTGTTACTAACAATTTTTGTCAAGCTGAGGAATTTGCAGCCACGCTGTGACCGCCGTGGAGGAGCCGTGCTGCAGGGTCAAGGGGATTCATGATGAGTCAGTTGGCATGATATAAGCCCAACAAATCAGGGGTGATGATTAAATTAGTGAACAAATCAATATTTGGAACCATTGGCAACAATCGAGCTATGGACCTGGATTGTTCCCCAAGTACCAGTATGGATGCCGGCTGTTCGCAACAACTTCAGTGAAGCTTGCGGTCTGGTTGCAAACTAAGCCTAACCCCACCGTCCAAGGATGAGCGAAGGAGCTATCATGTCCGATTCAGCGTTGGCAGGCTTGCGTATGGAATTGTCCTTGACTTGGGTCATGGTTCCAAAGGATCTAAGGAAAATCTAAACGACCCGGTCACGGTCAATCTGTCTTTCATTCTGGGTCCTGTGGAAGTGGTAAGATCATAACCCAAATCTCAAGTCTGAAGGCCCAAGGCAAGAGAAAGTCGCTCAGTGTGTCACATGCGATCGTAAGCCAGAAAAAATGCCCGGTCTAGCCTCTCTAGGATTTTTCTTTCCACTCCCAAACATATTTTCCTGGGGATCATCGTCCAAAACTCGAAGCCATGTGAGCTTAACAAAACCAATTCATCTCAAGCATCCAAACGTCTGGTGGAATATCCGACATTTCCTTGGTTGCCCACTCGTACCTCACAATGGACGCATGGCAAGTTTGAGTTTCCATGCGCAGAGATCCTGAAGATTACTCCAAACATGTTTTATCCAAAATGATGTTGAGAATTGTTGAGATGAAGTCCGAAAATGATGTCCCAGAACGGGGCAACTATGGGCAACCTAATTCTGCCCACATTTCAGCGCCAGAGCAATCAAGAGCCCTCATGTGCCACCACTACTTGTCTTGGGTAAAAAATAGAATTAATAATTGTTCACCTTGAATTTGACCCATATATACTAGTCATATCCTATCCGTTTTGGGCCTCTCGAAGCACCACAACACCCATCAGCTTGGCCACTGCAGCTGCACTCCCACAAAGACCCATGGCGAAGCTGCGCTCGGATCAACTCGAGCTTGGAAGTGGCTTCAGATGGCTTGAGAGCTTGCCCACCATTTGGTGTTGGTGCGGCAAAACACATCCAGAACTTTTATGTATCATTGATGCTCGCAAGAAAGGCATAGAAAGGCGACAGACACTGACCCAAGCAGGTGTGATTCCAGGTGAAAATCTGCCGAGGCATCAGCTACCCGCCCAGCCAAGCTCCTGATTTGTCCTTGGACCTAAGAAACAGCTTGCTGCTTGAGGTGGGGCAAGGAGCAAACTGGGGCTTCACCTAGCAATTTTCCCTTGGGGATTTGATGAAACACCCTCTGGTAAATCCAACCTGTTTGCCAGGTCTGACTAGTGGTAGGATACGGTATGGTGGATCTGGATGTATCTGGACCCAAAAACACAGGGATTCACGGAGATTCTGGGAAATTTGCGTCCGAAAATCAGGGTGGTCTCAAATTGTCAAACTCAGGTCCGGTAAATTTTGAGTTTTGGGGTGTCTATGAATGCCTCTCATTTTTTTGCAAGTAGGACATCCTCATCATCCTTCAAACTAGACGACGGATGGCCCGAGAGCGTAGACGAGCAAAGTCTTCTGTTGCTAGTATGGAGACACTAAATTACAAGACAATATATTGAAGATGTATTATAGGCAGACGAGAAGAGTAGTTTCAAAACAATATATTACAAGTACAAGACAATAGTTTGCATCGTATCTTTCGTAAAGTTGCAGACAGACGCTTTTACACACAGAACTGTTTACAGACAGACGCTTTTATTATACACACAGAGGCTTTTACACACGGACGCTTTTACACACAGAGCTTTTACACACAGACGCTTTTACACACAGACGCAAATACACACAGAGACTTTTACACACAAACACGTTTACACACAGACGCTTTTACACACAGACACTTTTACACACCAACACTTTTACACACAAATATTTTTACACACAGACGCTTTTACACACAGACGCTTTTACACACAGAGACTTTTACACACAGACGCTTTTACACACAGACGCTTTTACACACAGACGCTTGTACACACAGACGCTTTTACACACAAACACTTTTACACACAAACACTTTTACACACAGAGACTTTTACACACAGAAGCTTTTACACACAGACGCTTTTACATACAAACCCTTTTCCACACACACACACTTTTACACACAAACACTTTTACACACAAACACTCTTACGCACAGGAGCTTTTACACACAGACGCTTCTACAGACAGAGACTTTTACACACAAATGCTTTTACACACAGACGCTTTTACACAGAGACCCTTTTACATACAGACGATTTTACACACAGACGCTTTTACACACAGACGCTTTTACACACAAACGCTTTTACACACAGAGACTTTTACACGCAGACGCTTTTACACACAGAAGCTTTTACACACAGAGACTTTTACACGCAGACGCTTTTACACACAGACGCTTTTACACACAGACGCTTTTACATTCAGACGCTTTTACACACAGACGCTTTTACACACAGACGCTTTTACACACAGACTTTTACACGCAGAAGCTTTTACACACAAACACTTTTACACACAGACGCTTTACACACAGACGCTTTTACACACAGACCCTTTTACACACAGACACTTTTACACACAACATTTTCACACACAGAGGCTTTTACACAGGCGCTTTTACACACAGACGCTTTTACACACAGACGATTTTACACACAGACGATTTTACACACAGACGCTTTTACACACAGACGCTTTTACACACAGACCCTTTTACACACAGACGCTTTTACACACAACCGCTTTTACACACAGATGCTTTTGCACACAGAGACTTTTACACACAGGCGCTTTTACACACAGACGCTTTTACACACAGACGCTTTCACACACAGCCGCTTTGACACACAGACACTTTTACACACAGAAGCTTTTACACACAGACGCTTTTACACACAGAAGCTTTTAGACACAGACGCTTTTACACACAAACACTTTTACACACAAACACCTTTACACACAGACGCT